TTTTTTTTTTTTTTTTTGGTTTAATCTGGTAAGCAAGCTACTGAGATCAATTCAAAGATTTCTGCAGGTATTTATAGTAGCCTCTCCATTTTGTTCCCCTTTCTACGACGTATGTTTAGTTATGTGCACTTGGGTGCTTATACAAAGTACATTATAGGTTGTATATCACAACATGAATGTCATATAAATCGCCATGTAGCATTTAACCCATATGTCATTTGGATTAAACACGCCTGCTACGTTACAGCCATTTCAGATATATTATCATATTTGTGAAATAACTTAAGAATTCTTGTTATTAGTTTTCCCTAGTTTTTGAATACTGATCAGTAGAAGACAGTTTTTTATTTTCCGTTTAGTCACTGAAGTTAAGCAACGCTGCAAGGAAGAAATCAACAGTCGGGGAGATCGTGAACTTAATGTCAGTGGACGCACAGAAGATGCAGGTGTCACCCATCTACCTACATTTTCTTTGGTCTTCGGGCTTAGCAATCGTCGTGGCACTGGTACTGCTATGGCAATATCTAGGTATGGCCACATTGGCGGGTCTTGCTGTCATCATACTTCTCATGCCGGTCAATGCTTACTCCGGTACACAGATAAGGGCACACCAAGTAAGTTTTAAGATTTTTAACCTTATGTTGCTTTTGATTTCATGCCAATATTTGTCCGTAACCCTACTGGAAACATATGTGGATTTAAGTAAATTCATATTTTGTAGTCTGTGGTGATGTTGTCTTTTTGTATATATAGTTTTATCTGAAAAAATCATTAATGAGGTATTTCAGCCAGGGTTCTCATTTATGGTCTATTAGGTCAAAAAGTACGTAGCACGGTGATATGTTTCTATGGGGGGACGTGTTTCGTCACCGACTGACTGAATTAAGCATAGCTTTCTTTTAAAATTAGAGACATAGAGACATTTCAAAAATACATTTGTGCGCAACTAGCAGACTACTATCACGATTAAACTATACAAACTCTATAGCTAGCATAAATAATGGAAGCGTTCTCTTCGCTTTGCTGAAAGGAAAGTCAGAGGTGTGTTTGTGAGCGTCTGGGTCATTTTTTACGAAATTTACACACGTAAGCCGAATTAGTACCAGAGAAGTGTTCATTGTTTTGCAGGTTAAACAGATGTCTATGAAAGATCAAAGATTGAAAGTTCTCAATGAAGTATTAAACGCTATAAAGGTAAACACAGTGGTTATAAAATACAGTCAAGTCCAAATGCATAATTGTATTTTGTAAATATAGCATATTCGTTCATCAATGAAAAAGTTAATGACACCATACAGAATGTGGTAAACCGTTATGATAATCTTAAAACGGTTTTTAGTAAGACAGATATTATGTTACACTATCATTATTAAATATTCATCTCAATGTGATGAACACGTTATTATACTACCAGTTCAATATACATTACTATACAGATTTTGAAGCTTTACGCTTGGGAAGAGTCATTTAAAAACAAAGTTACAGGAATTCGTGACATGGAGCTTGTTTCACTGAGAAATGTACAGATCGCAAGTGCTTTCACCGCCATTGTTTGGTTTTGTGCGCCGTTACTGGTTAGTATGACAATTATAACTTAATAATAAAACAATGTTAAATAGGTCGTTTCCATTAATACAAAGAGGAATTATCGCTTTTAGTGTGCTTTAACATCCGAAAGAGACATATGAAAACGCAATCGTGATATTAAATTTTGACAATAGGCTAATGTATTTAAAGATAATCTAATAAAAGTTAAGTTACGTATGCCACAGACAATGCAGTATATTGTATGATCGTTTAGTGATTTTGTTTGTTGCTTTCAGATGACTTTGGCCAGTTTTGCAACTTTTGTGCTCTTGGACCCCAGCAATGTTCTTGACGCAAACACAGCGTTTGTTTCTTTGTCCCTATTCACCATTGTCAACAGTTATGTGGACGCAGTCCCCATATCTATAATGTACCTGGTACAGGTAGGTTTATTGTTATTTCCTATGATAATTTTTGTAGTTCTCTGTAAATTCCAAGATAATTTGCATTTGCGTATATGACCACAAGCCTGAAAGTCTGTGTGTCTTCCTATAGGTTTACATTTGCTGTCATATCTATTCTTTTATGTTAACATGACAAAATATTTATAAACAAATATCACTGATATTGATAATAATAACGACACTCATTATAATGGCATATTTCCGGTTTTTGTTTTCCCAGGCTGGTGTTTCTATCGGACGTCTGAATAGATTCCTCAAAGAAGAAGAGCTTACAACCGTGGTCGATAGGACCGTGTCATCTAGTAAGAAATACTTCAGCGTTTTATGCCATACTATGCTCATTTTTTAATAACAGGGAATCTGAACCGTCTGAGTTGGAACATTATAGTATACCCTTTGTCCCCCCCCCCCCCCCTTAATTTCATTTGAACGGTAAGACAGTTCAGTAAAATATAACCTGTACAAACATATTAGAACGTACAGGGATAGTTACAACTTAGAAATACATATGCTTGTATACAAAAAACAAGGGCCTTTAAATAACGCGTTGATGGCGTGTTAAAATGCAACGATACTAAGTTCGTAAAGCTTATATTTGATTCCTCCAATAAAATTGAGTAATTTGTCCAATGGTAAATTCTGTAACGTTAAGTTAGGTGGATAATATTTACACGACGTTGCAGGTGTATTAATTTTTTACATGTTTATTTATTCAGATGGCGCCGTATCTGTGCAAGATGGCACGTTTAGCTGGGATAGAGATGAACCAACGACACTGCAACAGTGAGACTCTTAAAACGCCTATATGAATTTAATTCTTGTCCAAAATTACCCTTAAATATTGCTTTTAATGTAACATGTGCATGGACCCCTTTACATATAGCATAGATATCTAGTAATTTTTTTAAGTTAAATATTTGTTTCTATATTGAATACTTTATTTGAATATGTGATTGGATCCCTCTTAAAATATACGGAGATGTCTCTCCCTCTCCCTCTCTCTCTCTCAGTGTGTAATTCACATGAGGTTATGTCAAAATGATATCTTGCATTAACCCTTACAACTATTTGACATGGCGATCAATTCGGTAAATTCCAGTTTGAATTTTGAAATCCCCCCTGGCTCTCTGGTGGCTGTGGTAGGACAGGTTGGAAGTGGAAAGTCTTCCCTTCTCAGTGCTCTGCTAGGAGACATGGAGTGCATATCAGGGGAAATTAATGTAAAGGTACTTCAGAACTTTGACTATTTATATAGCAATATGTGTGCGAGCGCATATATTTGTGAATGTAAATGTGCATGTGTGACATGATAAAAAACACCAATATTTACTGAAGCGTTTGGGACACCAAATAAGCAATTGTTAAAATAAAAATTTTAGGGTTCGGTGGCCTATGTTCCACAGCAAGCATGGATACAAAACAAAACTATCAAAGAAAATATCATGTTTGGAAAACAGTGGAACCAGTCCTTTTACAGGAAGTGTGTTCGAACATGCGCTTTAGACCCGGATTTAAAAATCCTCCCCGCTGGAGACCAAACAGAAATAGGAGAAAAGGTATGTACTTCTTACAGATATCAATACTCATGCAGTTACTGTGTTTTTGTATTATAATTGCCAGTGACATAAACAATGAAATAATATGTTAAATACTGTCTAGTATCTTCTAGACTGGCATGTATTTGCTTTGACTTAATTCACTGCTGAAACCCGCAGGGTGTAAATTTAAGCGGTGGTCAGAAGCAGCGAGTGAGCTTGGCCAGAGCGGTGTACCAAGATTGTGACGTGTACCTCATGGACGACCCTCTTAGCGCAGTCGACAGCCATGTTGGAAAACACATCTTTGACCAAGTGATTGGGCCGGAAGGATTGTTGCAAGGAAAGGTAAAATTTAGAACAGTTTTTTATGTTTGTGTTGAAATTCGGTCTTGCAATCGCTACAAATTTATTAGTACAAAAAGTCGGGAAAGGACATTTTACAAGCGGGGGCTGACAGAAATTCTGTATACTCGATTTAGACCGTGTTTTGGTTAACTAATTTGATATACTTTTATCCAATTATTATGACAACACTTAGTCAACTTTTACTTTTGAAAGTCTTGAAAGATTTACAGGACGAAAACAAAAATATAAGTATGGACCTTAATATACCTATCAGCAAAAAGGGGTCTTTGCGAAATGCATGAACAAACAGATCAATATTAAAGTCTGTGGTTTATATCTTTATATTTACTTCTGGATTACTTTTTTCTAAAAGTCTGTGATAGTAAATCTCAAACACAAAACAGTGGATACAAACGAAAGCGTTTTCAAAAATCTGAGACTTACAGAAACTCATGCTAAGAGAGCAAGACATGCACAATTGCTACATGTACCTGAAACTCAGCTCACAAAATACCATCTTTGTTTCAGACGAGGGTTTTGACCACAAACGGCATCAGTTTCTTGCCAAAGATGGACACCATCATAGTATTGACCAAGGGAGTAATATCAGAGATAGGCACTTATCAAGAATTGCTGAGTCATAATGGTGCCTTTGCTGAATTCTTAAAAAACTACTTGAACGAGAAAGAATCAGGGAGCGAGAGTGAGGAAGAAGGGGGTAAGAAAAATACCATTTTACACATTATAATCAACAAGTATTCATTGATTTTTTTCTAACTTCAGATTTTATGCTTTAATACTTTCATTCATTTGTTTTAGGCATTATTTCGATAACCCTTATGAGGAACTATTTATGATAAATATTCCCTTCCAAAATGTAGCATTAAAGTATACCAATGCCTGTACATATTTTAGTGCATGATAAGATATGGCCCGCATTTCTTTAAAAATGGAAAGAAATGGAGCGGTGATATTTGAAGGAAATATTATTTAGCACCCGAAATATTACACTGTAGATATGAGATCGCAGTTAAGGCGACAGATTTCGGTACTCTCGGGTTCAGATAGTGAAAGTGAACAGGACCACCATGTTCGGAAGCGAAAAAAGTAAGGGAGTAGAAAAATGCCACCAATAAAGGCGTCTTTAACAGAACTAGAGGTTTAAATACTTGTTGTTCATTCCACCTTAAGCATTTAAATGAGGATCTCTGGTTGTAGATTAATTTTGCACAATATTTCATTGCAAAATAATGCCTTTTGAGTATATGAACCAATATACACCGTAGTCGCTTTTTATCGGGCTGTACATGGGCGACTTATTGGTTATATTGTAGACAGACCAGCAGACAGACCAGCAGGCAGACGTCGTTTGGAGAATCAACGCATGCGAAGGAAGTGAAGAAGATGGGGGAACAGTTGATTGAGGAGGAATATGCTGAAAGGGGAACGGTATGTTTTAAAATATTTTGATTGAGACTGGGCGAATAAAGCATGTATAAAGTTGACACTTAATACATGCTTTTCACAATCATATATCCAAATAAATGTGCCCTCTCTTTTCCAGGTTAAATACACTCACATGCTGAGTTATATTCGCGCTAGTGGGCTGAGGTCTATTCTCATGGTAGCGATCGGATATATTGGCTTTGTATCTTGTCTGATTGGTGCTACTATCTGGCTGAACTTGTGGAGCAATGACCAAGTCGTTAATGGCACCCAACAGCTTACTGATCTCAGGCTAGGAGTATATGGGGGACTAGGGGCGGGGCAGGGTAAGTTACCAGAATTTGAATGACTTTATTGAGTACAACATTACATACAAGAATTTTAAAAGAGCATAATAAAACAACTTACAACTAATATTACAACATCACTTTAAAATAAGATTGTACCCAAAAGGGTTTGCCTAAAGGGTCAATGACCCATGAATGGACACCCCCCAAAGATATACAAATAATAAAAACCCTACTTTAGTACTAAAAACGACAATGTGTACATCTACAAACGACGATGTGTACATCTGCAACGACCCACTCAAGTGCAAACGTTCTCGGGGTCAAAGCGCTCCACCAGAAGAGTACCATAGACGGATCGTCTAAACATTGATCTGCCAGCCCCTGAACGTGTGCAAATTGGAAGGGCGTTCCAGATGGGAACAACGCGATTGAAAAAAGACCGGCAAAACGTTTCGGTTCTACAGAAGTTGGCACTGTGGATGATAAAATGATCTACCCTTCTTTCTCTAAAATACAAATACTTCGTATGATCATATGTCTTATAATCAAGTCTTAGATACAGGGGTAATATCGAGATGTAAGACAGGACAACGTAACATATCAATATAAAACACAAGCAGTACGAGTCTTACAGTCATTACTTGGATATTTCAATTCATCGGTGATTTTGAACAGGCAAGCATGATTTGAAACATAAACGCCATGAGAGGTTAGCTTATACGTTTATAATTATGTTATTTGTATCAGCATATTACAATGTGGCGATATGTGTAGCACAGGGTGTAAATAAATGTCTGGGTACAGAATCTGATTATCCTTGACAGCCCGTTGTCCATTAGATTCATATAGGTTAGGAATAGCGAAATTTTCATGAATCACAATTTGAGCCAGGGCCCCGTAACTCGAAATCAAGCGTCTCGACCGAGCGCAAGCGTCCTGATTCTATAACTCGCCCATACTCGCCCCATATAATCCATTGTAGCCTCTATGTGATAGCGCTATTCGCAATAGGCGATGCCTCCGAGTTACGGAGCCCAGGACTTATTTGAACAAGTGAATCCGAATAGTACCCTGCTCAGGAAATTCTCTCACCTATGTAAAAGGCAGGGGGTAGATTTGCTTTTACAATTATATTTCCATTTAGAAATAGAAATAGAAGATACAACAGATAATATATTTCATTCCAGTTGCTTTTATCGTCGTGCAGTATTTTGGGATCGCTTTTGGATGTGTGGCTGCATCTCGTACCATACACAAGTCTTTCCTGGAGAGAATCATGCGGGCACCAATGTCTTTTTTTGACACGACGCCTCTTGGTAAGATGGGTGTTTTGATGCGATGTGTTTTGTTTTCCAAAATGGCCGTCAAGGTAGAATTCATCTTAGCTTTGTTTTGGTATCCGCTTTTTATTTGACGTGAGATGTGCACTTCAAAGTAAGATGAATGTGGGACTCCCTTGCCCATCTTTTGCACTGTCAGCAATCTGGTCAATTTGCGTGTCTACGTTTAACTTATTTCTTTTTCCCACTCTCAAAGAAAGATTTCTTTTCAAAAAAATTATAAAAATAAGTTTGCGTCAGAATGATTTAGTAAAGGCATAAATCTTATTTAAAAAAAATGAAAAATGTCCCCATATGTTATCTGCAAAAAAATGTTGGAAGTGCAACGTTTACTGTGATGTGATTCAATACAGATTCGATTGTTAGATGTCAATAAGTTTGCTATTCCGATGGCTTTAGGTCGCATCATGAACCGTTTCTCCAAGGACATGGAAACTGTAGACAGCAGCCTCCCTCTCACAGTGGAAACTATCCTGGCGGCGGGTGCACAGGTTATTGCAGTGGTCGTCGTTGTCCTGTACAGCACGCCTATCTTTGCTGTGGTCTTACTGCCGTTGTCTGTTCTCTATTTTATGACACAGGTAGAGAATGCAATACTTGGTGGTACACAATTAGATTCATGGTTCCACACGCTGGCATGCATACACAGATTGGCTATTGCCTAGGTTATAATTATCAGCCCTTATGAATCCATTGCAGTTCAACTTAATATACATGTAAATTCCTTTCGTTACAATGCAAATATATTTGTATTAGCACTGTGTTGGGTAAATGATATAATCCACATTTATCAGATAACTTCATTGTTGCAGAAATTATACCTGTCATCTGCCAGACAGTTTATACGAATTGATGCTACAAAGAGATCGCCAATATATTCACATTTTGGTGAGACTCTGGCAGGGGTGAGTTCCATTCGAGCTTATCAACAGCAAAAAAGATTTGTGCAGCTCACCGACAAAATGATAGACGAAAATCACATGGCTTGGTACGGATATATTATGTCAAATCGGTGAGTATACTGTATACGGTCCTTGCTGTTGTGTGACGGCCGGAGCATACCGGTAGAGGATATTTCACTGCTGTTGCTATGAGCACTGTCGGTACAGCTCGATATGTGGCGCTATTATACAATCTAATAATCTATGTAGCATATATTGAAGAATTGTACAATGTAAGTAGATGCAGCCAAACATGTAATACATGTAGGTATCCTACGTAGGTATACCTCATTGCCCTCTTATGTTTTGTTTATCGTGTACTTGGTTAATTCGTTTTCCTGTTTAAACAAGATATATTTTCAAAAATATCCTCTACCTCATTACCAAACTGTTAATGTGAATTATGCCTTCTACCCTCAGGTGGTGCGGTATTTTAATGGAAACATGTGGGTGTTTCGTCATCCTATTTGCCGCCATTTTTGCTGTCCTGGCAACTGGATCTGGAAGTATCACAGGAGGAGACGCCGGGATGTCCATCTCTCTGTCGCTTAACGTGAGTGCAGAGTTAGAAATGTATTTAATTTTGCCGAGGTGGTGTATACATTCCCTTCTCGATATCAGTGATAAATTAATTTGAAATATCCAAATGTTTTTAATGTAATTTTTACAGTATCCTCATCGGTGATTGCTCAGCTGTTGTAAAGAATGAACTGGTTTGTATGACCTTGTGCGGTATCAGAGTGTTACACGAAAACACTGTGAACAGAAATCGTCACATACATTCTGTTAGTTTTCATGGAGTGTGATATTGCTTGTACATATTAGAGCTTTATTGTAGGTAACTCAAATGCTAAATTACCTCGTAAGTGCAAGCTGCGACTTTGAAATTCAAGTGGTCGCTATAGAAAGGATCAAGGAGTATTCAGCAGTAGAAGTTGAGGTAACTCATTTTTATTGCACTTAAGGATTTTCATTTACATAAAATGCATGAAAAGACAATGTTTTATTTATTAAATTCTTAATTTATTTCGGAAATCGATGTATATACGACAATTAAAAAGTTGACGAATACATGTACTAGTATCTGTAATTGAATGCACCGTCCACTTCCAGGCCCCTTGGGACATTGATCACCGCCGTCCACCCCCAGAGTGGCCACAGAAAGGAGAGGTCCAGTTTGACCAGTACAGTGTCCGTTACCGGCCTGGACTGGACCTTGTGCTTAAGAATGTCACATTCCAAGTTCAGCCGGGAGAGAAGGTATGAAAGAATTGTCACCGAGGGACTCTAAATGGCCATCAAATAAAAGGATCCCACGCATAATAATAACTGTAGGCAATTTATCTGTACTTGTGACCTTGAAACCGTATTGGGAATCCAATTCCAGTTTCCTTAATTCTAATTAAATCTTATAAGAAGAAGTGTTTTAACAGCTTTATACACATGTATATCTTAATTGCCCTCTTTGAGTAAAAATATGATGAGAACGATGGTGTAAAAGGAAGCTTGTCAGATTTGAAGCATTGTTTGTATATAAAGATTTACGTGCATTTACATAATACTTAATTTTTCTTATTAAGGGTACAAAATACAAAAACATGTTTGCTGTTTATTGCCAGGTTGGTATAGTTGGTCGCACAGGTGCAGGGAAATCTTCACTCACCTTGGCTCTGTTCAGAATCATAGAGTCCGCAGCCGGTAACATCACTATAGATGGAATTAAAATCGCTGACATTGGATTGCATCAGTTGCGCTCAAAAATCACAATCATACCACAGGTTTGTTCCGATGGTTCTCCTTTATTCGTTTTAATTATCTTTTCAAGGTCATTCAGTGCAGAGTGGTATTAATGATAACCTAACTGTGTAAAAAATATTTGCATTAATTTTTCACACGCAACAGTAACTACATTGCTCTGGGTAAACACGATAATTTAAAATTTTACAAATTATTTTAATAATTAAAAATTTTGTATCTACTTTTAAAAGCCTTTTTAACACAACGACACTTTCACGAGGTAATGGATGACCTACTTTGCATATCTTTATAAATTTATAAGCTTAATAAACCTTTGTCGCTCTTATTTATCCACTTCGTTTGAAAAATTCGAGAATATCTGACAGAAGGCAGATCTTGGGTGGGCGCTAATATTAACAACATTACATGGAATAGATACAATTAAACTTAAAGTTTGTTTAAACTCCCAACATCTACATTAAGAAAACTAATTAAAAGTTTTGAATATGCATCTTCTTTTCTTCATGCCAGGACCCTGAACTATTCTCTGGGACATTGAGGTCGAACTTAGACCCATTTGGTTTGTACTCTGTTCAGGATGTATGGAACGCACTTGAGCATGCGCACTTGAAAGGCTTTGTGGCCACTTTGCCTGCAAGGCTGCAACATGAAATGTCTGAGGCCGGAGAAAATTTGAGGTATCAGCAAAAAATTCACATTTAGCCATTTTATCTCCGTAATTTCATCTTTTATTTGTCTGTAATAGGATATTTAATTGGAACGTATAACTCTTTAATTTGATGAAACGATGAAAGGTCTTTTCTCACAATTTTCAGTGTTGGACAACGGCAGTTAGTGTGTCTTGCAAGAGCTCTTCTTCGGAAGACCAAGATCCTTGTTTTGGATGAAGCAACTGCAGCCGTTGACATGGAGACGGATGACTTAATCCAATCCACGATTAGGTCAGAGTTCAAAGAGTGCACCGTGATAACTATAGCACACAGACTGAATACAATCATGGATTATGACAGGTACATGTAAGACTAATTCATTAATTGCTTTATGCGGCGTACAGTTGGACGTGTGAATCCGACTGTTAAAATGATTTCTTTCTGTTTTTCAGTGCGGTGTACACATATTATTTTTCTTGTAAGCGGTCATTCATACGTAAATCAATCAAACCAAATTAACATTTAATAAATAACCAGCGACGTCTCCATACGTTACTGTGGACAATTGGCGAAAAGTTCATAACGAGAGAGCCTTTGGTGCACGTGATCACGTATAATGTCGTGCTATCGTGTCTGTTCTCTGATACGTTAACAATTTTTGAAATAAGTATAATTTAATAAAAACGCCTTTGTTGTGATCAATAGTAAAATGGACTACATGTACATGTAGTATGTTTCAGAAAATTTACGTTACACACTTTGAAATGGTATTACAATTATGTCTAATAAATTTCGAGATCGACAAATGCATTGATTTGCTTATGACCATTTTATAAATGCTTCTCTCATGCTACAGGGTCCTAGTGCTGGACAACGGTACCATTAAGGAATTCCAACCACCCAGTGCGTTACTTCAGGACAAGAGGAGCACGTTCTACGGATTAGCTAAAGACGCAGGATTGGTTTAAAACGGACATTTGTGTACTTGTACATGTAATAGGTGTACCATTCTTAGTGCCAGTGTCTCTGATGCTGCCTTCGTGCTTCGGACTTCCAAATAAAATGACTGACCTTGTGATATATCTGTCAACTTAGTTTTAAACAGCGCACTTGACATTTGTTTACATTTCTGATTTGGAGACTTATCGTGGTTACCCGAATCAGCATCGTAAAGTCGTAAAGTATTAATAACTTCAATGTCAGTTTAAGGTCAAGCGGACAGCAGCCACAAGATTAAAAGAGCGCTGTTCTCAGTAAAAGGTTACATGTACCTTAACGTTTGAGGAGACCGGAGGAAAAGACAACGATAAAAGTGATAAAGTTGTTTATTCAACTGAGAGACTTATAACCGAATGGAATGATAAAGTGGTTACTGGATTATGATTAACGAGTGTTATGGCCAACTCAGTTACTGTGGAGTTAAATGCCAACTTCTCTGCAGTAAATATATGCGACAATTACTGGTAGTACAGAGTGATATTATTATTACTAATACACGCACATTTCGTTGAAAATAATAGACACGATAACAGCATAACAGTCGATTTACAATTTAAAATTTAACTGAAATAATAATAATAATAATAATAATAATGACAGTATGCTATTAGGTGCACTTGTTTGCTTTCAATGTAAAGTATACTGATGAATTTATACATTTTGCTTTTCTTAAATAGGCAGTTTCTTATTTCAGTTGCAATATAATGATAATTATGCCTTTTTTAAATTACGAATACTTTATGAAACATATTCGTAAAGAACTAGGTTATTCAGAAGAATTGTACAAAACATCGAATTTAAGAGGGGGGGGGGGGGGGGCGAGCCGAACAATGAATAGTGAGCATGAAATTATACTTTTCGTTTTTTGAAGAAAATTTTATTTGACGCGAAACTCTCGCACTAAATCTTAGGAATAAGATAAATATGAAACAAACGCCGCCTTGTGTTCGTCTACTTCAGCTACTTAAGGCGTGTTTGCGTTGTGGCAAGTAAGGACAAGTGGGGTCATCCCTGTTGATAAAGTGTACCTCCCATTCTAATCTACGATCTACGGTACATACACTCTGTATGTATATATAAAGTATAACTCAGTGGCCTACAAACTGATACATGAAGAGAAGAGACCAAACCAAATCCATAGTTTCTACCGCCACGAATTTATAACCAAGCCCGATCTAGGCGTCTAACATGGAGGAGGACATTTACTGGCCAGGTTTCTGTGGTAACGACACAACACACGCTATGTTTTGGGTAAGGAATTTGTGAATACCCCTGTAATGTGTACTACATTTATGTGCTATCTATACTACATGTTTGTATTCTATCCCCAGTCTCTCAGCAACAATAGAATATTTGAGCCCTTACAAGGAGGATACTTGAGCCCTTACCAGCAGCGTTATTCAGTTTATGATGGAATACTATTTTTATATTAAAAAGATAAAACTTACCTTAATAAGTGACTATATTGGCGAGTAATTGCTCTACAGTACGGGGTTTAGTAAACGGATTGATTCTGTCGGAATCAATTGACGTTACTTTCTGAGTCCATGTGTTGATTATATAAAGTTCCAATATCAGATTGTCACTTATGACGGCAAGTGTTATTCTCTATTTTATTTACAGAGCTGGAGTCTGACGGTGAACACCAGTAACCCTGACGTCACACAATGTTTCCAGGACACAGTGTTTGTGTGGGTGTCCTGTGGGATTTTCTGGTTGTTTGCCCTCTTTTTCATCCCAGTTTTATCATCCAAACCCACCGTGCACGGGATACGAGACGCTGGGAAACTGAACTTGGTCAAAATGGTTTGCATCTGGGTTTCGTTTGCTTATCCTGATCTTCAGTTTAACCTCGTTTTGTCAGTTCGAGATAAATACCAAAGAAGAAAATACTCATTGCACGGCTTGATAGAGTTTTTCCTTATTGTTGGCATACAGATTACCCAACAAAAACCATACGGCGTGCACATATTGTGGAATTGAGTAAATCTATGATAATTATTTGTAAACAGGGATATGTCAAATCTGTGCTTCACTGTAGCTGTCTTTGATGTTGAGTATTTAATATTTCAGTCATTAAGCATATTGCTATGCCTGACCTCCATTTTGGATTTGTTAAAATCCTTCAGTGAGCTGCCAACACATCACACACCACCATCCGCCTTTATCGCACCTGCCATATACGCCATCACATTTGTAAGTCTATGCCCATTAGATTTTAATCAGAGCTGTGCTTGTAACAAATAACTGCAAAAAGATGTGCATCTGTATCCAAATGCACTGTTTCAAGACCTTTCTGCTAGTCTCTAAATGCAGTAAATAAATAATAAAAATATGATTAAGTACCGAATAAAAATGTTCAAGGTCAATTTCTATAAGTGACATTTCAGGGAATGTCATCGTTTCTGATCACGTACGAGTTTAAGAAAGGAGAAGTGTCCTCAGCCATGTTGTTCATCTTCTGGTCCATACTTCTCCTACTAGGGGGTGTGTCACTAAGATCTAAAATAATACAGGTGCAAACTCAGGTGAGTGTTCACATTTTTTTTTATGAAAAGTGAAACAAACGACACAATCGGTACAAAAGAAAGCATACCAACAATGCATTTAATAAGTCAGCATTAGCAAACAAAAAACAGCAAACAATAAAAAAAAAACAGAATTAGCATTAGCATTCACTCATTTACATAAAAATATAGATTTGGGGGTTTACCCATTTATGCATTTATTGCTTTAAGTTTTTAAATGGAATATACTTACTGATATTGGCTTGATTAATCAAAATAATTACAGGATCATCAGGATATATTCCGGGTGGTGACCTTCTGCTTTCGTTACACCTTTGTCATACTAGAGTTCATATTACACCTGTGGGCGGATGCTAAAGCGCTTCCGAAAGATACACCTGAGCGGAGAAAGTTGTCTAAGGATGTGTCTTTTTTAACAGAAGCCGTCGCCTCATCAGAAAGTCATGCTGTCAGGGTGGGGACATATCCTTTATAAACGTCATGATTGTCGAAAAGGAAACGGACAATTTTATACTAATTTTTAAATTCAAGCTTCCATTTGATTCCCTTTGCTTTTTGGCATGCTAAACACGTAAACAGACACCCGTTTTAAGTTGTCGAAGGATGATCGTGACGTTGTTAAACAGGTAACAGATATTACATGTACTTGATAAAAGAAAGTAATGTATTGTGCATGATTTTCATGCCAGCTTTCATTTCAGAAAATGACTCCAGAGAGAAGTGCCTCCTTTTTATCCAGAATTTCATACTTTTGGATGACGAAGTCAGTATATAACCCACTGCTATAAAGTTTATAACTTTCGATTTAAGGAAATCAGAGTTTTTATCATCTGCTCTTTAAAATTACGAAGTTTATTGACTCAATTAAATAAAGGAAATAAACCTTAATGGGATATGCTTTTAAGATCTGAAAAATAATCATTGCAGTAGGTCACAGTTTCTGGCATAAACTTACCTGTTTTCGCTTGTGTAAATCTGTGCGTGTCTAAGGACTGATTCCCATTGCCACTATCGATCCAATTCCGTGAGGACACTCACTGAATGCAATCATTACTGAATGACACGCATCTCCGTTGAGTAGAACAAAGTGCATAGAAAATACGATGATTATACTTTGGAAAAAAAAACAGGATGTGTGTTAATATGTTTTACTTATTGTATTCAGCAAGAGTCCCCTCGAAGTTGGTTCGATGTAGACAGAGAGTGACATTAGGAACGAGCCCTTAGAGAGACTATTTGCAAATCAGTGACTTTTATTGTGTTGCCCAGTACTTAATGATGGCATGTGTCTTTTATACAGACTTGTAATCAAAGGGTACAAACAGACTTTGGAATTTGCTGATATGTACCGACTGCTCCCAGAAGACTCTTGTGGCGTCATTCTACCTAAGTTTTTGAGAGAATGGAGAAAGGAAAATGAGAGGTTGAGGTAAGTCTCCTTTTGCGTGATGTTCGCAATAGAAGGTGCACTATACCGGTCTATGCGTACATGTATATGTCAAAAATTATTTCTGTAAGTTATCTTAAAACCAATTCAATGAGTTTCAACTATCATTATTTTCTTCATTTTGTTTAGGCCAACTGCAGTTCGTTTTAATACAAGTCACAAGTACGTAGGCATTCCCAGTGATTGTCCAAGCAATCATCCTGATGACAGCCAAATCCATTCTGCCCAGATGACCCGAACAGACAATGTCGTAATTGAGTCAGCGAATCCACCCGTCCTTGGAAAACCTCGCTTATTGAGGGCTCTAGTGCGCACTTTTGGGCCTTATTACGCACTTGGCGGGCTATTGAGACTATCCCTTGATGCTGTCACATTCGTCAACCCTATTTTGTTAAGGTATTAGAAATCAAAGGCAGTGAATATCGAAACTGGTACTTGTAACATTTCATGATCTCAACTGTACTGCTATCATTTACATGGTTATAAAGAACAGTTCTGGCGTGGACAGAGGGCACATCCCCTGACCTTCCACTGCGTGGGATAATTTTGCATGTAAAGTGCCCTTTGCGGTTCTTGCTTCAAGTCAGTTTTTTGCCATTTTATTAATAGGCCTATATTGAAAAGTATATTTTGCTTTGAAAGAAATATGTGTGTGTGTGTGTGTGTGTGTGTGTCGGCTTATGAATAAGTACCATATATTGTATTTTTTGTTTGTTTGTTTGTTTGTTTCAGTCTGATGATTACTTTCGTAGAGAGTGGTGACCCGCTCACATGGCGCGGGTACCTGCTGGCCTTGGTTATGTTCCTCTTCAGCATGCTTCATTCCATCCTCTATGAGAGATACTACAGCGTGTGCTACAGAGTTGGATTGAGGATACGCACAGCCATTATAGCAACTGTCTATAGGAAGGTGTGTTGTGCCAAACTATATATGGTATTAAAGTATTTGGCAAATGAAGGCCCAGCCAATTCTAACGTATTTGGGAAATAGTTTATAAATGGTATACATGTATCAGTGTGTGAATAGGGTTCCCAACTGAAAACTACCACAGGCATTCTCAGTAGAAAATGTTAATATGACCTGCTATCTGTATGCATTTTGGAGTAATTTCATATAAAATATATCATTTACTTGTTAATATTGTTTGTGATCTGGCAACTGCATCATTTGCAATACTGCAGTTTTCCATATATCTTCTAGTCACTGAAGTTAACCAGCGCTGCTAGGAAGAAGTCGACGGTCGGAGAAATTGTCAATTTAATGTCGGGGGACGCGCAGAAGATGCAGGACTGTTTCCTTTTCTTTCACCTTACTTGGTCGTCCACTTTGTCCATCATCGTGGCACTGGTGCTGCTTTGGCAATATTTAGGTCCTTCCACTCTGGCTGGTATCGCAGTTATCGTACTTATTCTGCCGGCCAACGCCTACGCTGGATCACAAATGAAAAAGCAACAAGTAAGCTGGATGCCATGTAAACCACTGCCCAGACTTCATCTCTTGTTTATTTTACCGCATATTGCATAAACATTAGTTCATTCTTCAAACATAGGTTTGCCCTTTTCTTTTTATACTGTTGAATAAGAATGGTTTGGTTATAATTGTAACGTGATGTTATTCCTCATGTCATGGTTATATGGTATTCCTATGTGGTGCAATGCATTTATTTAGTGCCGTGTATTTTTGGCAATCCGTACCCAATTTGATCACTTTCCATGATTTGTATATGTTGGGAATGATCAGTATGTCTTTATAACCATTGTATTTAAAAGAGTTAAAGAGGTAATTACATTCTTCAGGTCAGGTAAGATTCACCTTATTTTACCCTCAGTCATCTTGTTTCTGGTCATCATATCACTGAGTGTGTTAAAGTGCTTGAAAACTCAATATTAACAACATTGATTTATTCTTAGGCTCGCCGAATGGCACAGAAAGGCCAAAGATTGAAAGTTACCAATGAAATACTCAATGCTATGAAGGTAAATGTAGTGATTATAGTGACAGATAAACCGCAATTATATTAATTTTATGGGGCAATTTTTGTGTTGTGTTGTTTAAAAAAAAATTGTGGTGAGAGACAAAAAGACAGAAGTATTTTTGTATTGGGTTTGTGCAGTATGTCAAAAGTCATCGCAAATATCAATAAATGCATGGTTGCAAACGTTGATTGTTGATAGAAAGGAAGTTCGATATTATATTAATTGTCATCATATGCTGCATGGGTTATAGCAAAATTACATAGAAAAATGCACGGAGGTTGACAATTACAAGGTGATACATTGTAACAAAATGACTTAGTAAACGGATTTAGGAGAGTTCCTTTATGCAATTGTTCAGTATGTTGGGATTGATATCGAACAACACATTAGGGTCATAGTTTTGGAAACATTTTCAGAATAGACGATTTCATGCCAGATAATTAATCATTCACACCGTTGAAATGTATTGAATGATATTCAGTATTTGTTATCGTCCTACATGATATAATTACCATGGCTATATTTTTTTATGCAGGTCTTGAAATTGTTCGCTTGGGAGGAGCCATTTCTGAACAAAGTGACCGAAATACGTGACTCGGAACTTGCTTCACTAAGAAACTTCTTATTTGCTTATGCTTTCACTTGTACCATTTGGTTTCTTACGCCGCTGGTGGTGAGTCTGATCATAAAAGTGGGCTAAATTTAGAGTCCGATTTGTTTGGTATCTGTCCTCTTTTTCAAAATGAAAATGCAAATTGTATTTGTGTGTATAAGTATGCTCGGTAATAGATGCAAAAGTACAGACGAAACACTTTTCGTACATGTAATACCATATAAATGCTGCCCATTGGCACATGTAACAGTGTTGTGCATATTGCCTAAGGGGTTTTATTTATATCTGTTTGTTTATGCCTTCAGATGACCCTGGCAAGTTTTGCTGCCTATGTGCTCTCAGATCCCAGCAATGTTCTTGATGCCAACACGGCTTTTGTGTGTTTATCGTTATTCACAATCGTCAAGATGTACGTGACCGGCGTCCCCATATCCATAAGCGCCTTGATACAGGTAGGTTGGTCCCAGTGGCATATCCTTCGATAAAATTTGTAGGACATTTTTTGCAGACCAATGAAACCTGAATAACTATGCTTCCCATCGTCTTCCTCGTTGTCTGCCTCAAAATGTCAGTCCGCCTTTTTTCTGTTTGTCTGTTAATTGTAACACGCAATTTGCCTATAAATGATCAGTGAGTAACTGTAGCTGTACAGTGACTGGGCCTGGCTGTTCGAGTGAACGTCAGATGGATACACACCGATCACTCGCATCTCCATCTGGATGTGCTAGTTTTCTGCTTGCCTGTCGTCTGCCTGTCTTTTCATCAATCTGCCTATGTGGCTGTCTGTTTATCTGCCTCCCTGTCTGTCCGTATGTCTGACTGAGTGCATCTATACTTTGGCAGAGATTTTTCACGACCCCTAGAAATTAAGTTTTTTTATTAGACTGTCCCTATGTTTGCCACCCTGCCTGCGCGTTTGTCTGTCTGTTTGTCAGCCTGATAGACTGCATGTATGTTTACCTGGCTGCTTGTATGACTGCCTATAGTTGTGTGTCAGTTTAAGTTTCTTATGCAAAATTTAAAAAAAACAAGATGTCTGTTTTAATATAGCGAGGTGAAATTATTGAAGTTTTATTACTTCAGAATTGTGTTGTTTACCCAGGGTAGAGTTTCTCTGGAGAGACTTACTAGATTCCTCGTAGAAGAAGAACTGGATACAGACATGGTCGATAGAACCAAGTCAACTAGTAAGGAATATTTTATCCTATTCAATTATTCTCCTTTCTTTACTTCTTCATACAGGGAGTCTGAACCATTCAGTATCGTGTAAGGCAAAGGTTTATACACATTCTGTTTAAACTGTGTTATATTTCCATGAAAATTTTTTATTAACAAGAAAAATAACGGAACAGAGCTCTTTCAGTGACGCGTTTATACCGTGCAGGTTCCTGAAAATCTTTTCATTGATTAAGCAGCTGAACCGAAATGAGATTTAAATTTGAAGAATCGACTATGTAGATTTGGTGAATACAGAACTTTTACAATGCTTGAGCAGATGTTCGTCTATTCATTTGTTTACTTATTCAGATGGCACTGTATCTGTGCAAGATGGCAATTTTACCTGGAACAGAGACGAGCTGGCGACTCTAAAGCAGTACGTATGTGTCAAGAAATCCTTGAAAAATTGTGATTTTATCATAAATGACATCAGTGGTAATATGGGTAAAATTATAGAACATCTAAACCGTATTTGCGCCTATTGCATTTAGCTTTACAATTGATTTTAATGGTCTTCCAATTGACCCACGAAATGCTTTGTGTGTGTGTGTGTGTGGGGGGGGGGGGTCATATAATGTTAACTGAAAATTATTTCAAACATTANCCGGCGTCCCCATATCCATAAGCGCCTTGATACAGGTAGGTTGGTCCCAGTGGCATATCCTTCGATAAAATTTGTAGGACATTTTTTGCAGACCAATGAAACCTGAATAACTATGCTTCCCATCGTCTTCCTCGTTGTCTGCCTCAAAATGTCAGTCCGCCTTTTTTCTGTTTGTCTGTTAATTGTAACACGCAATTTGCCTATAAATGATCAGTGAGTAACTGTAGCTGTACAGTGACTGGGCCTGGCTGTTCGAGTGAACGTCAGATGGATACACACCGATCACTCGCATCTCCATCTGGATGTGCTAGTTTTCTGCTTGCCTGTCGTCTGCCTGTCTTTTCATCAATCTGCCTATGTGGCTGTCTGTTTATCTGCCTCCCTGTCTGTCCGTATGTCTGACTGAGTGCATCTATACTTTGGCAGAGATTTTTCACGACCCCTAGAAATTAAGTTTTTTTATTAGACTGTCCCTATGTTTGCCACCCTGCCTGCGCGTTTGTCTGTCTGTTTGTCAGCCTGATAGACTGCATGTATGTTTACCTGGCTGCTTGTATGACTGCCTATAGTTGTGTGTCAGTTTAAGTTTCTTATGCAAAATTTAAAAAAAACAAGATGTCTGTTTTAATATAGCGAGGTGAAATTATTGAAGTTTTATTACTTCAGAATTGTGTTGTTTACCCAGGGTAGAGTTTCTCTGGAGAGACTTACTAGATTCCTCGTAGAAGAAGAACTGGATACAGACATGGTCGATAGAACCAAGTCAACTAGTAAGGAATATTTTATCCTATTCAATTATTCTCCTTTCTTTACTTCTTCATACAGGGAGTCTGAACCATTCAGTATCGTGTAAGGCAAAGGTTTATACACATTCTGTTTAAACTGTGTTATATTTCCATGAAAATTTTTTATTAACAAGAAAAATAACGGAACAGAGCTCTTTCAGTGACGCGTTTATACCGTGCAGGTTCCTGAAAATCTTTTCATTGATTAAGCAGCTGAACCGAAATGAGATTTAAATTTGAAGAATCGACTATGTAGATTTGGTGAATACAGAACTTTTACAATGCTTGAGCAGATGTTCGTCTATTCATTTGTTTACTTATTCAGATGGCACTGTATCTGTGCAAGATGGCAATTTTACCTGGAACAGAGACGAGCTGGCGACTCTAAAGCAGTACGTATGTGTCAAGAAATCCTTGAAAAATTGTGATTTTATCATAAATGACATCAGTGGTAATATGGGTAAAATTATAGAACATCTAAACCGTATTTGCGCCTATTGCATTTAGCTTTACAATTGATTTTAATGGTCTTCCAATTGACCCACGAAATGCTTTGTGTGTGTGTGTGTGTGGGGGGGGGGGGTCATATAATGTTAACTGAAAATTATTTCAAACATTAAACGTGTTAGCTAAATTAAAACTAGTGTTTGGCATACATTTTACATTGTTTTCAATTCCAGTTTGAATTTTGAAATCCCCCCTGGCTCTCTGGTGGCTGTGGTAGGACAGGTTGGAAGTGGGAAGTCATCCCTACTCAATGCTCTGCTAGGAGACATGGAGTGTTTATCTGGGAACATTAATGTGACGGTAAGGTCTTTGTCTATAACATGTACTAGTATTTATGTATTCGCACTAAAACTAATTTTCCGAGAGAAAAGTGAAATTTTATCATATTCACGCATCATTCCTCGAATGACTCCTGCACTTGGATTCGGTGTTCTGTGCCATTTCTAACCGAAGAACTTTGTTCAAAACAAATTATGAACAATTTACACCACCACACCGGTAGTATTCCTGTCATTACAGAAAAAAAATATTGACACCAGGTTCATTTGTTTGAGGGGATGGCTACTTTGCAGGGTACTTATACATACATGGACAGTTGTGATTTGGGGGCAAGTAGTGAAGGCCTTCCTTGAGGCACGATTTAGGGTGCGAGTTCAAATATGATATAAGATTGATATATGATATCAAATATGATATAAGATTTAAGCTACTGCATGTGTTATAACTTGCCTGGAATACATGTTGTCTTGGGACGTACACAAAACTCTAGTGATCAATCACTTATCAAAATGATCATATTTTAGGGTTCCGTGGCCTATGTCCCACAGCAAGCATGGATACAAAACAAAACTGCCAAAGAAAATATCCTCTTTGGAAAACAGTGGAACCAATCCTTATACAGGAAGTGTCTTTCCACATGCGCCTTGGAGCAGGATTTAAAGATTCTCCCAGTTGGAGATGAAACAGAGATTGGCGAAAAGGTTTTAATTAATTGCTTTCACAGATGTCGAATTTAAATTCATTCATAATCTTTTTATCATACGAAAATTAGTTCCTTGCATTTTAATCCTATATTGATTAATTTTTTAGCTCAGTTGCACACAACTGTCGCGAAATAAAATACAGTATAATATTTTACATTTTCATTGTACAGGTACCTCGTAATTGTCAAAAGGATAATAGTTATTGCATGCATGTCAACATCCTGCAAGGATCGCGTTCAAGCAAGGTAACAAAATGAAAAAGCTTCATAGTTAGGTTACAACTCTCTTACTTCCCAGGGCGTAAACTTAAGCGGTGGTCAGAAGCAGCGAGTGAGTTTGGCCAGAGCAGTGTACCAGGATTGTGACGTGTACCTCATGGACGACCCTCTTAGCGCAGTCGACAGCCATGTTGGGAAACACATCTTTGATCACGTGATTGGGCCGGAAGGGATACTGAAAGACAAAGTATTCAGAACAACTTGTGCTGAAACTAGCTTAGAGCCCCTAAGATGGCCCCTAAAATGGACTTAAAAGTAGAAACAACCGATACAAATTGGTATAGTTGAGTAATATTAATCAAGAGTTAAGAATAATATGTAAAGACGAATGCTCAGATCACATATGTTTTATATGAAGTTGGACTGATTTTGTAAGGTGATATAAGATGATGACATTACGTTTGAGTGTAAGATTATCATTTAAACGCTTCCAAAAAAACCATCCTTATTTTAAGTGGGCGCTTTCACAGCATAATAAATCTTTTGTTATTGTCGTTACGATAATTGTGTCGGCCGGATGACCTTGTGCGGGTCCATACCAGTCCATAATAAACACATGCTCTCACCTCATTTGACGTAGTGATAAGGTACCTGGTCCGGCAGTGAAAAATATTGTTCGTATGCTACTCTTTCCATGCCAACAGCCAATCTGGATCAGACCAAAAATGTCAGGCATATTGTGATCTTCTGATAGAAGTTCATCTGTGTAGTCTGTTTATGACCATAAGTTTCAACTTTTCACTTTCTACGCGAAATTGAAGCTATATTTATCTCACAAAGCTTTCGGTCACTCCGTATCCTTCCTCAATGTGTATAATTATGAGGAACTTTGTCGGGCAAAGCTTCAATTTAGTGAATAAAGCGAAAAGTTTAATAATAATATTGTAATCATTTGTATATGAGAAACAGACATTTTTACTTAATAACTCCCCGTGCACACGCACATACGTGGTCCGCTAGTGACAGCGCTGTAATGTTCCAATTATTACACTGTCAGCAAATTACTTTCAGACGAGAGTTCTGACCACAAACGGCATCAGCTTCTTGCCAAAGATGGATGCCATCATAGTTTTGACCAAGGGAGCAATATCAGAGATAGGCACTTACCAAGAACTGTTGGACAACAATGGGGCTTTTGCTGAATTCATGAAAACCTATTTGAACGAAAAAGAGGCTGAGAGCGAGAGTGACGAGGAAGAAGAGGGTAAGATAGTTGACGAATAAATTCTATGAGATATGAGAAGATCTCATTTTGTAATGCTCACATGACTTTTGACAGTTCTACTAAATGCTTTGCAGTTCCGTGCATATATAGTCCCCACGCTTGTCCTTTTATATTACCTCTTGTATTATATACTTTCTCGTCGATTACTGTTCACTTTCATTCTCAGGAAGGTCAGATTGTTTCAGGGTTGAACAGATCCATCAAGTCCAGGCATAAATTGAACAGATCCATAAAGAACCGACATAAGTCGTAATACAGGCTGATCTCTGTTATGGAGGACATTAACCTATAAACCCAACTTTGATCGCTTCACTTTGAAATTGAAGCAGAATTGGTTAATAAGCTTTGCACCTTACAAAATGCTAGGATATATTTATCAAAAGAGTATGGAAAACTAAAACATAAGCTTAATTTGATCACCAATTATTGTTTACTAAATTTATCTTACGTTGTAGGTTTGAAAATTCACCTTGGGGAACAGATACAGATATCGAAAAGCGGGGGTGAAGAGGCAAATCTTTCAAGAAAGCTGAAAAGGTATGCTGCAACAAAGATGGCATCAGAGTGAAGGTTGCACATACAAGTAAAATTAATTTTGAGTCCTTGAAATGTTTTCTAGCTGCTTCATAAGTTTTGCCAATACGCGCTTGCCTATAATTCAACGATTTATACATCCAGTGGAAGATCCAGCAAGCAGCCTTCGTCGGAAGAAACATCAGTACAGGACGTGAAGAAAACGGGAGGACAGTTGATGGAGGCGGAGAATGCTGAAAGCGGAACAGTACGTTGTTTCTCTTTTGATAATGAAGAAATTTAGGATGAGGGCACGTTTTGAAACATTATGTAATGTGTTATGACAATATTCCATTGTGCCTTTTCACAGAATTTGGTTCTTCTCACAGTCCCGAATCAAATGCATGCACAATGCACCTTCAAAAGCCACGTCTTTATTAATGAGCCAGGTAAATTTTTTCAGGTAAAATACACTCACATGTTGAGTTATGTTCGTGCCAGCGGGTTCAGGGGGATCGTCATGGTGACGGGCGGCTTTATCTGCTCCGTGCTTTTCCTGATTGGTGGTAATATCTGGCTGAACTTGTGGAGCAATGACCAAGTCGTTAACGGCACCCAACAACTTACTGATCTCAGGCTAGGTGTATATGGAGGACTAGGGGCGGGGCAGGGTAAGTCATCCCTGTTTCGCTATTTATTGCTTGGGTGTCAAGGCTGAGGCTTAACACAGACATATGGTTTCGGGAGCATACACCTATTTATTTTCTATGATATACAGAAAGGTTCAGATGTAAGCTCTCCAAATTAGCTGGTTTTACAGTAAAACAATAAATATCAGCTATATGATATGTTGTTCTTTGAAACAGAATCAACGCCTGATGAAGCAAATGTTTTTGTAATAAAAATTGTCTAAAATAAGACATATCAAGAAAATACCGAACCATTTTATGTCATAAGCACATAGCTCGTAGTTAAGGATATTTCGACTTGAAAAAATGTAATGAAACTCAAATAATGCACCAATTAATATAATGTTAATACAGCTGACACCTGTAGGCAAGAGGATTTCCTTCTATGGTCAGTAAGTGATATTAACACCCATTTTCGTATTCAGATATCCTGGATGTATTTATTATGTATTTTTTATAAATAGGCCCTATATATTTAAAGTGGTGTTTTATATACAAATTTGTTGCATTCCAGTGGCATTTATCGTCATTCAGCAACTTGGGATTACTCTGGGGTGCGTAGAGGCTTCTCGCACAATACTCAATGGCTGCCTTGGGAGAATCATGCGGGCCCCCATGAGTTTCTTTGACACGACACCATTAGGTACTATATAGTAAACTGAAAAGTTTATGTTTTTATGTTTTAGTAAGTGGATAAATTCATACGCAAAATGCTGTTAATCATGTTAAATAACAACTACGACTCTTTATCTTGGTTTTATACATTTTCATAAACACACACAGTAGCGTATTGTGATAAATGACGGATAATTGGCGGGTGCCACCATATCTTCTAATGACTTAATTTTGATCTTGCATTCTAAGGATTTATTTGCAAAAGTTCTTTGCTAACAATACGCGAAATAACCATTAATGGAATATATTGCTTCCTTTGTAACAAAAGCCATACATCATTTTGGAAAGTGCTGGTCAACCTTTCTTTGCCATAACTTTTGAGAAACAAAATGTGCTGTTTGGTGTACCCTAATATTTTAGTAAGTATACTGCATTTAGTATATGCAAAGAGGTATGGATAAAGGATTTTTAGGATAAAGGCATCCTGTGACCGGTCCTTAGTGAAGTACTATTAATTGGTGGCCTTCAAATATAGGATTGTCCGTTTCTTTTGCTGCAGGTCGCATTGTAAATCGTTTTTCTAAGGATATGGAAACCATAGACTTCGGCCTTCCGTTTACCATCGAGACCTTATTGGCAACAAGTGCCCAGGTTATTGCAGTGATATTCATAGTCATTTACAGCACCCCCATCGCTGTTGTTGCCCTATTGCCATTATGCGTCATCTACTTTCTTACACAGGTAACTCGTAATGTGATACAACTGATATGTGTTTAAGTATAATAAAAGCATATAGCATGAAAAAATATGGTTCTCCTGTTTCGGTTCAGGGCATATATATACATATACTGTACATATCGGGTGGCTAAAAAAAAACGATACTAATTTAAGTCCAATTATTTTCATAGATCACAAGCTTTGGAATTTGAATTTTGCACAGATTTCTGATACATCATAATTGGGCAAACCACAAAATTCCAAGTGTTAAAGAGAAACAGTTTTAACACTATCATCAAATCAAAAACACATTGACAGGGGTCAAAACTTCCATACACTTGCACCTGTCACGCCGGCAAAGAATTCTTTACTTTAGATTAAAATTTTTGTGCCAAACTAAGAAAGGTCGAGTCAAGAAATTCTCAACATTTATTAAAAACATCCTTTTCCTAAAATATCTCAAATTTTATTGCAATATCTTTAAAACTGTTGAAGTAATTGAACTTTGAATATAGTAACTTTTTTAGCCTCTCGTTGTTTACATGTATAAAGCCACAAAAGCACTCACGCACAATCACGCACACACGAAGACACACACAAAACAAGTGGTTTTCTCAGCTTTTACCGATAATAAAGAACGTAACAGTAGGGCATGCTTTGCTAATAGCTCGTTCTTTCAGAAATTATATTTGCCGTCTGCCAGGCAGTTGATACGGATTGATGCTACAAAGAGATCCCCTATATATTCCCATTTCGGTGAGACCCTGGCAGGCGTTAGTTCCATCCGAGCTTATCAACAGCAAAAAAGGTTCGTGCAGCTCACCGACAAAATGATAGACGACAATCAGATGGCCTGGTACGGATATATTATGTCAATTCGGTAAGTGCTGCGTAGGTAGGCCTATAACCTTTACATGGCTCTAATATGGGGCATGCACCAGACGGTAGGAACGGTTTATCTAAGGTCTGTGGTAGAGAGTTTGGTGAGGCAGCATCATGCAAGTCATGAAGCAGAGGGTATAACGAGTGTTAGGGCTAATGTGAACTCAATGGTTTATAACATTATGCTGTGTATGCACTCATGTACCTTGTGCCATTTGGTTATACACGTGTATGTGGCACTGTATTTCAAGATAAGCGGCAAAGAAAATGAGACAGTTAGAACGGACAGGGCAACAAGACAACACACACACACACACAAACTAATTGGTTCAGTAATATATGTGACTGGAAAACCTCTTTCCCATATATTGCGTTAATAACATGTACAAGTTCTAATACCTAATAAATTTATCGACTTGAAAAAAATTGTATAGTTTGAAACACTAAAATATATGGAACAATCTATTCCCTTTGATTGGTACTTGGTCATCTATTTCAACACTACCGTAGTACCAGTACAATTTTTTCGCTGTCCTTCTATCAAGTTGACAAAGTGATGGGATATATTTTCAGTTGGTGCAGCATTCTGTTAGAAACATACGGGTCTCTCGTTGTGCTGTTTGCCGCCATATTTGCTGTCCTGGCAACCGAGTCTGGAAGCATCACGGGAGGTGACGCTGGGATGTCCATCTCTATATCCCTTAATGTAAGGGCTGAGTTTATATCGTAATAGTTTATTACATGCTACAGTATANTTTGTCCCTTTAATAACCCCCCATGCACACGCACATCCGTGGTCCGCTACTGACAGCGCTGTAATGTTCCAATTATTACACTGTCAGCAAATTACTTTCAGACGAGAGTTCTGACCACAAACGGCATCAGCTTCTTGCCAAAGATGGATGCCATCATAGTTTTGACCAAGGGAGCAATATCAGAGATAGGCACTTACCAAGAACTGTTGGACAACAATGGGGCTTTTGCTGAATTCATGAAAACCTATTTGAACGAAAAAGAAGCTGAGAGCGAGAGTGACGAGGAAGAAGAGGGTAAGATAGTTGACGAATAAATTCTATGATATATGAGAAGATCTCATTTTGTAATGCTCACATGACTTTTGACAGTTCTACTAAATGCTTTGCAGTTCCGTGCCTATAGTCCCCACGCTTGTCCTTTTATATTACCTCTTGTATTATATACTTTCTCGTCGATTACTGATCACTTTCATTCTCAGGGAGGTGAGATTGTTTCAGGGTTGAACAGATCCATCAAGTCCAGGCATAAATTGAACAGATCCATAAAGAACCGACATAAGTCGTAATACAGGCTGATCTCGTTTATGGAGGACATTAACCTATAAACCCAACTTTGATCGCTTCACTTTGAAATTGAAGCAGAATTGGTTAATAAGCTTTGCACCTCACAAAATGCTAGGATATATTTATCAAAAGAGTATGAAAAACTAAAACATAAGCTTAATTTGATCACCAATTATTGTCTACTAAATTTATCTTACGTTGTAGGTTTGAAAACTCACCTTGGGGAACAGATACAGATATCAAAAAGCGGGGGTGAAGAGGCAAATCTTTCAAGAAAGCTGAAAAGGTATGCTGCAACAAAGATGGCATCAGAGTGAAGGTTGCACATACAAGTAAAATTAATTTTCAATTTTTGTCCTTGAAATGTTTTCTAGCTGCTTCATAAGTTTTGCCAATACGCGCTTGCCTATAATTCAACGATTTATACATCCAGTGGAAGATCCAGCAAGCAGCCTTCGTCGGAAGAAACATCAGTACAGGACGTGAAGAAAAAGGGCGGACGGTTGATGGAGGCGGAGAATGCTGAAAGCGGAACAGTACGTTGTTTGTATTTTGATAATGAAGAAATTTAGGATGAGGGCACGTTTTGATACATTATGTAATGTGTTATGACAATATTCCATTGTGCCTTTTCACAGAATTTGGTTCTTCTCACAGTCCCGAATCAAATGCATGCACAATGCACCTTAAAAAGCCACGTCTTTATTAATGAGCCAGGTAAATTTTTTCAGGTAAAATACACTCACATGTTGAGTTATGTTCGTGCCAGTGGATTCAGGGGGATCGTCATGGTGACGGGCGGCTTTATCTGCTCCGTGCTTTTCCTGATTGGTGGTAATATCTGGCTGAACTTGTGGAGCAATGACCAAGTCGTTAACGGCACCCAACAACTTACTGATCTCAGGCTGGGTGTATATGGGGGACTAGGGGCGGGGCAGGGTAAGTCATCTCTGTTTCGCTATTTATTGTTTGGGTGTCAAATCTGAGGCTTAACACGGGCATGGTTTCGGGAGCATACACCTATTTATTTTCTATGATATACAGAAAGGTTCAGATGTAAGCTCTCCAAATTAGCTGGTTTTACAGTAAAACAATAAATATCAGCTATATGATATGTTGTTCTTTGAAACAGAATCAACGCCTGATGAAGCAAATGTTTTTGTAATAAAAATTGTTAATAAGACATATCAAGAAAATACTGAACCATTTTATGTCATAAGCACATAGCTCGTAGTTAAGGATATTTCGACTTGAAAAAATGTAATGAAACTCAAGTAATGCACCAATTAATATAATGTTAATACAGCTGACACCTGTAGGCAAGAGGATTTCCTTCTATGGTCAGTAAGTGATATTAACACCCATTTTCGTATTCAGATATCCTGGATGTATTTATTATGTATTTTTTATAAATATATATTTAAAGTGGTGTGTTATATACAAATGTGTTGCATTCCAGTGGCATTTATCGTCATTCAACAACTTGGGATTACTCTGGGGTGCGTAGAGGCTTCTCGCACAATACTCAATGGCTGCCTTGGGAGAATTATGCGGGCCCCCATGAGTTTCTTTGACACGACACCATTAGGTATATAGTAAACTGAAAAGTTTATGTTTTTATGTTTTAGTAAGTGGATAAATTCATACGCAAAATGCTGTTAATCATATTACATAACAACTACGACTCTTTATCTTGGTTTTATACATTTTCATAAACACACACAGGAGCGTATTGTAATAAATGACGGATAATTGGCGGGTGCCACCATATCTTCTAATGACTTAATTTTGCTCTTGCATTCTAAAGATTTATTTGCAAAAGTTCTTTGCTGACAATACGCGAAATAACCATTAATGGAATATTATGCTTCCTTTGTAACAAAAGCCATACATCATTTTGGAAAGTGCTGGTCAACCTTTCTTTGCCATAACTTTTGAGAAACCAAATGTGCTGTTTGGTGTACCCTAATATTTTAGTAAGTATACTGCATTTAGAATATGCAATGAGGTATGGATAAAGGATTTTTAGGATAAAGGCATCCTGTGACCGGTCCTTAGTGAAGTAGGCCTACTATTAATTGGTGGCCTTCAAATATAGGATTATCCGTTTCTTTTGCTGCAGGTCGCATCGTAAATCGTTTTTCTAAGGACATGGAAACCATAGACTTCGGCCTTCCGTTTACCATCGAGACCTTATTGGCAACAAGTGCCCAGGTTATTGCAGTGATATTCATAGTCATTTACAGCACCCCCATCGCTGTTGTTGCCCTATTGCCATTATGCGTCATCTACTTTCTTACACAGGTAACTCGTAATGTGATACAACTGATTATACTTAATATAATAAAAGCATATAGCATGAAAAAATATGGTTCTCCTGTTTCGGTTCAGGACAAATATATACATATACTGTACATATCGGGTGGCTCGAAAAAAAAACGATACTAATTTTTAAGTCCAATTATTTTCATAGATCACAAGCTTTTGAATTTGAATTTTGCACAGATTTCTGATACATCATAATTGGGCAACCCACAAAATTCCAAGTGTTAAAGTGAAACAGTTTTAACACTATCATCAAATCAAAAACATATTGACAGGGGTCAAAACTTCCATACACTTGCACCTGTCATGCCGGCAAAGAATTCTATACTTTAGATTAAAATTTTTGTGCCAAACTAAGAAAAGTCAAGAAATTCTCAACATTTATTAAAAACATCCTTTTCCTAAAATATCTCAAATTTTATTGCAATATCTTTAAAACTGTTGAAGTCATGCCGGCAAAGAATTCTATACTTTAGATTAAAATTTTTGTGCCAAACTAAGAAAAGTCAAGAAATTCTCAACATTTATTAAAAACATCCTTTTCCTAAAATATCTCAAATTTTATTGCAATATCTTTAAAACTGTTGAAGTACCGGTAATTGAACTTTGAATATAGCAACTTTTTTAGCCTCTCGTTGTTTACATGTATAAAGCCACAAAAGCACTCACGCACAATCACGCACACACGAAGACACACAAAAGTGGTTTTCTCAGCTTTTACCGAAAATAAAGAACGTAACAGTAGGGCATGCTTTGCTAATAGCTCGTTCTTTCAGAAATTATATTTGCCGTCTGCCAGGCAGTTGATACGGATTGATGCTACAAAGAGATCCCCTATATATTCCCATTTCGGTGAGACCCTGGCAGGCGTTAGTTCCATCCGAGCTTATCAACAGCAAAAAAGGTTCGTGCAGCTCACCGACAAAATGATAGACGACAATCAGATGGCCTGGTACGGATATATTATGTCAATTCGGTAAGTGCTGCGTAGGTATAACCTTTACATGGCTCTAATATGGGGCATGCACCAGACGGTAGGAACGGTTTATCTAACGTCTGTGGTAGAAAGTTTGAGGAGGCAGCATCATGCAAGTCCTGAAGCAGAGGGTATAACGAGTGTTAGGGCTAATGTGAACTCAATGATATGCACTCATGTACCTTGTGCCATTTGGTTATACACGTGTATGTGGCACTGTATTTCAAGATAAGCGGCAAAGAAAATAAGACAGTTAGAACGGACAGGGCAACAAGACAACACACACACACACACACACACACACACACAAACTAATTGGTTCAGTAATATATGTGACTGGAAAACCTCTTTCCCATATATTACGTTAATAACATGTACAAGTTCTAATACCTAATAAATTTATCGATTTGAAAAAAAATTGTATAGTTTGAAACACTAAAATATATGGAACAATCTATTCCCTTTGATTGGTACTTGGTCATCTATTTCAACACTACCGTAGTACCAGTACAATTTTTTCGCTGTCCTTCTATCAAGTTGACAAAGTGATGGGATATATTTTCAGTTGGTGCAGCATTCTGTTAGAAACATACGGGTCTCTCGTTGTGCTGTTTGCCGCCATATTTGCTGTCCTGGCAACCGAGTCTGGAAGCATCACGGGAGGTGACGCTGGGATGTCCATCTCTATATCCCTTAATGTAAGGGCTGAGTTTATATCGTAATAGTTTATTACATGCTACAGTACATATTACCAAAACAATCCGTTTTCCGGTAGTATAAAACAGTATGATGGCTTTGTATTGCGTGAGCCAAATGTAGCTTATATACGAGTAGCCTACTACAGCATGCAGTCTATTTTCCAATACACCTGCATCTGTTACTCAAGAACAAAAAAGATTAGAGCTATTTATGGGGGGGGGGGGGGGGGGGGTTGACCGAGGGATTATTTTGGTGTATCCCTTGGCATGTCGACTTTATTTGAGTCGTATAAGAAACTACTACAATTGGGTGATATGAGTCAAAGGGAATCCACGTATGTTATTCTAATTTCCATTTATAATTTCATTATCATTATTATCAATGTTGTAGGTGATACAGATGTTAAATTTCATGGCGAGGACATGCTGTAACTTTGAAACCCAGGCAATTGCCTTAGAAAGGATAAAAGAATATTCAGCAGTGGGAATTGAGGTGATCCGTAGATAATGTATACATTACACAAGTTAATATGATTTAATTTACCAATCATGCATAAATGCGCACTGAATTCAAACCTTTTGAACTGAACCGATCATTTAGCGTTGAAATAACATTGCTGGGCATCAGTCTATTCTATTGACTGCAGAAAAATATGTATAACTTCAAATTTCTCTCTTCATCTTTTGTAAACATCTTACCAAATTGACCTTAACACCGGGTTTACTTTCTACTGATAGGCCCCATGGAGCGTCGATGACCATCGTCCACCCCCAGAGTGGCCACAGAAAGGCGAGGTCAAGTTTGACCAGTACAGTGTTCGTTACCGGCCTGGACTGGACCTTGTGCTTAAAAAGGTCACATTCCAAGTTGAGCCTGGAGAGAAGGTATAAAAGTGAAAATTGCATGACCCTTAATCGTCATTAATCGTCTTTTTTTGTGGGGATAATTAATCTTTTCATCATTTTCACAAGTGTACAAAGCGTAAATTTTTTCAAGAACCCCCACTCCAATCTGCTTTAGAGAGTGCAATGTAAAAAGCTAGAGATGATTACCTTTTACAGGAATGTGGAACGTCATTTTCATTATTTTTCAAAAGCTTACAGAGGGCATTAACCATCACCCTTTCCAGTGTACGGTTTTTGGGCTTGTGAAAATTATGATAAAAACAGATGAGCCCTAAAATACTTGTTTGTAGTCTGTGTATACTGAAGTCAAGGAGTGCTTGCATAAGCATGTCGGTTTACTTCTTTCAGTCATAGATAAAGACTTGCTGTTTTTCTTAATAATCCGTCGGTACTTGTTCACAACTTTTAAGTAATTTGAAAATTCGATCGCATGAAAAAATGATGTGGAAAACAGCTTAGGTGCGGTGAAAGCATATATTTAATTTAATTTTGGAGTTCATTATGTGGAAATGTCTGACCATTGCCAGGTTGGCATCGTTGGTCGCACAGGTGCGGGGAAATCTTCAATTGCTTTGGCTCTGTTCAGAATAATAGAATCAGCAGCAGGCAGCATCACGATAGATGGCATTAACATCGCTGACATTGGATTGCATCAATTACGGTCTAAAGTCACAATTATACCACAGGTATGCTATGAAGTCAAGAACCCCCTCATGATGCTTTGTTTTATTATTTTCATTAATAGCAAGCCTTTAAAGTATGTATTAGATATTTGGTGAAGATAATGTACATACATAAGTATGTCTAATCCATGATTTAGGGTTCAGTGAATGTCATTAGTTGCTCTATTTACAAATTTCTGTGCGATGTGGCCTATGGAAATTGTGACATTTATCCACTGTTATGGCAAAATCCTTAAATGGGAATAAACAACTAATACACTTTACATGTGTGGGATGATTAACGCGCGTTCAGTCGTTAGCACTTTTATGCAAAATATGTGTCTCTTTCTTTTTATTTCCAACATAATGTTTTTTTAAAAATCAGATTTTGTTTTAAATATCTTTCAACTTGATCGCAGGAACCTGAACTATTCTCTGGGACCTTGAGAACAAACTTAGACCCATTTGGTTTATACTCTGATCAGGATGTATGGAACGCACTTGAGCATGCGCACTTGAAAGATTTTGTGGCCACTCTGCCTGCAAGACTTGAGCATGAAATATCAGAAGCCGGAGAAAATTTGAGGTATATTTTGGCGAGTGCCCATGAGTATTCAATCCGACATTTTTCATCATATCATAATTAATGTTTTTTATGTGTGAATGATTTTAATAAGATCAAGTTATTGTAAAGATGTATGACGATTTTTCTCAATTTCAGTGTAGGACAACGGCAGTTAGTGTGTCTAGCAAGGGCCATTCTTCGGAAGACTAAGATTCTTGTTTTAGATGAAGCAACTGCGGCTGTTGACATGGAGACCGATGACCTTATCCAATCCTCTATCAGGTCAGAGTTCAAAGAGTGCACCGTGATAACTATTGCTCACAGACTGAATACAATTTTGGACAGTGACAGGTAAGATCGAACTTTGTTCTTAATTCGTGGAATTTCGCAATCTTATTTCAAATACATGTTGGTCGTCTCTTCAAATATTGTTTTCCCTAACCTGTGCAGTCCACGTTACCATATTTGGTTTTTGGTATCCTTATACAGTGTAGGGTCCTTAATAGGCCTACATCACTATAAAATAGTGGTCTGTATATCAACCGTGCAGACAGTCAGCTGCTAGATGCTGTCTTTCAGTTCTACTGTATTTCAATCACATTCACACGTTGTCCCCTGGACCACAAACTTGTCAACTCACTGTGCTTCTCTAGCACAATGTGTCACTTAAACGACAAAGAGACTCGGTATTTATCCAAATGTGCGTTGCTATATATCTACGAAAGTTTTTATGTTCATATTTTTTTATCAAAAAAGTAAAAGAAAAATACTCTTTTAATTGCGAGAACAGCGGTTGTCATTGGCATCTTTTATTTATAAATTAATTTTTGAATAACATATATTAATTTTAAGGATAACATATCATTCAAGAATGTTAAATCAAGTGTATGCATTTACCATAGCGGGACTCTGTATATACCCTGTAAAGCGTCGTGTTATTATAAATGGTGATAGTTCACTACCCTTAAAAATACAAGCTTACAGTTGCTTGGTATAGAAAATGAAAAGGGTTGTGCGAACTACTGTAGCTCGTGACAGTTTTATTTGGTCCCTTCTCGAGATAAATAGACTTAATAGAAGTGAGATCTGTTAATTGCCGTCTTCAATATCTTCTTCCAGTTAAATACGTGCCCTTTGAAATAAAACCCGTTATCACCGGGTCACCGATTCTTTTGTGTTATAATTCTTTCAGATGTGGCAGTTTTCTGTACGATGTGTATTCGCCTATATCACGTCTCTGACGTTACCTGGTAGTTTGTGCTATTGACACTGCCCGAATTATCACAGCAACCTTTAAGGAATATTATTTTACTCACAGTCCTTTGTACGTTGCGGTGTAACATTATCTAATATATATTTGATTTTCCGTAGGCTTAATATGTGACCCGCATATTTATTGTGAAAAGATTATATCGGTCGACTTCAAAGTATGTGACGTAATCATACAGGCTGGTGTCATATGGATCATCTTTTATATTGCAGGGTCCTAGTACTAGACAAGGGCACCATTAAGGAATTCCAACCACCCAGTGTGTTACTTCAGGACAAGAGGAGCATGTTCTACGGATTGGCAAAGGACGCGGAACTGGTTTAAAACGGACATTAGTGTACTTGTATTGTACATGTTATCGTCGTTGCATTTTTGAGTTGATGTTTGTGGTGACGTTTTTGTTGTAAATTAATATAAATTTGAGCAGAATTGTTGAAATATGTCTATTTGAAAAAGAACTCAGCTTTGCACACAAATCCATCTAATAATAATAATACAGGCTCAATAAAAAGAGCACACCACAAGAGCCTTTCAGCAGTTCCAAATAAATGTACAAAAAGTCCCCTCCTTATGTCTTAACACGAGACAGATTATACACAGAGATACTGATGAGACAGGTAAATCGCAATGTGGCCAGATGAACCAAACTCCTCAATAATTTGTTCCGTTTAACTATACTAAACCCCACAGAGTGCCTATGTCAGCGGCTTTTATAAATGCATAAATGTTCGCCATCTGGTAAATGTGCAGGTCGAAAATACCACAGTTACAAGATGCGCAACACTTGAACAGTGCATGCCTAAACCACATTGCTCAATTGGCCCCTATATCTTCTTTGATGGCCTTGATGATAGATGATGGCCCAAGGCCGTATTTGTCCAAAAGGACATCACCTGGCCCACTGCGCGGAATATCACGTACGGCTAAAATGCGCACACGGATGTCGCTCTGATCTCCGATAGCTGCCGCCACTGCTTCGCCTATACCCCCTGGAAAAGATAATTAGATAATTAAATGCAGTGCGAAGTTTTGAGTGGATTACAGGTTATTGATTAAGTAGATATGATATTCTTTTAACAGTACAGTAAAAAAAATTACCACAAATTTTGCGTGCCGTAGCAACAATCGCATAGTGTTTGGTCAGATCTCCAAAGTGATAGTTCAGCCACTGACTTTTCAATTATTCCAATTTTATTATTCTTACATACAATTAAACACGCCAATGCCCCTTCCCCTATACTGTTAGCACACGCTGCTGTCAAACATTTTGCTGTCCATGCTATACAGAGAAATCGAATATTCTTTCTCGGTAATATATACACACACTGAAAGACTGATTAATCCATAACTCACACGATCACCTACCCTGTAAGCGAACGAATAATTCCCATGGGGATAAGGGGGGTTTAAGAAAAAAACTGATATACCATAACAGTTAGTTTATTTTTTGAAACACAATACCTTCTGGATAGTGATCCTCAACTGTCAAAACTCTGCCCCCAGTTGCCCTAGCGGCGGAGAGAATCGTCTCCCTGTCCAACGGTTTCACGGTGAAGGGGTCTATGACACGGATGTGTATTCCCTCTGTTTCCAAAATGGCAGCTGCCTGCAGTGCTGTATCCAGGGTAACGCCCGCTGCCACCACGGTGACTTGATCGTTGGGGTGTTGTCGCACAACCTGACAGAAATGAAGAATAACATTCTGTATACTGATCGATTAGAATTCAGGCCGTTGGAATCGCTTTTAAAAATCGCTTCTTATTTTTCAACTGCATGCACACTTGGATGCTGGGTCCCAGATGTGAATAACTGATACTGCTGGGGGATCCTAGATTTTGCTGGGGCGGACAAGCATATATATAACAATTTGTAACATGTATATATTATGTAGGTCACAGAGAAGGAAAATGTCCTCTTTCGCTCAGTATCGTTTTTCTTTTTTTTTTTGGTGGGGGTTGGGAGGGAAGTACCGCCGACGCTGAAAGAGGTGGCACTTTACCGCCATTGAAACAGTTCTAACAAACGCGTAACCTATCAGCATCAGCCTTGAACAAACCTTCTTAAAGATAATAAGCAGGACATATTAAAAAACAAACGCCATATACAAAAATTATAGCATGTGTAGTCACAAAACATAATGGATAAGTTTATATCGGTAGCCCATACACGATTACATGGGTCAAGTCTTTTGTCACTTCTTAATTCAGTGTAAATTTGACATGTCCAGTCATCCGATTTTGGTTTCAATTTGGCAATAAAATGAAAAAGGGCCTACACGTAGGTCTGCATTTAGAAAGTTATAGTGAACATCTTGCCATACTTATCAAGGCAGTTTTGCTTAAGCTATTCAAATGGCATGGAACATAAATTGTTCGAATACCACTCAAAACCTTACCTTTGCCTCTCCAATATGAAATCTCTCCTCGTTGTCGTATATAACGCTGGTTTCTGATCGAGTGGACCGGATATACGCCATTCCTTTGGTGCATGCGGCGAGTTTCACGGCACCCTCCATGGAGACCGCGTCGCTCGGGTAGAACACTGTGCAATTGGGCACGGCGCGAAACATCGCCATGTCCTCCATACCCATCTGAGACGGCCCGTCTGCACCTGCAATGTACAAGGGCTGTAGATCTTTTTTTCCATGTGTTTAGCTCGCAGACAGATTGGAAGCCATGCATACATATAAAAAGAGACAGAGAGACAGAAGGAAATTTTGAAAGGTATGCTAGCCCAATGGCATATGCTAACTCATTCAGAGTCTTCGAAGTGGAGCAATGCATATGACGCACGAAGGCACACAAGTTTGCATATGTCATTCATATTTGTAGTGTCGACTATATTCCCAAAACGGAAGTAGAATTATAGAAGAAATCAAAATCAGCAGCAGATGCTTTGTGTTGAAAAAAGAATTCACGTGTTTTATTTTTTACCAACCTACGGAAACTCCAGGATGAGACCCCAGAATATTTATATTGGTTTGTGAGATGGCCCCCATGCGAATCTGGTCGTAAGCCCTTGTTAGGAAACTCCCGTATGTGCAGAGAAAGACTACTGTTCTGTCCCTAGTGGCGCACCCTATCGCCACGCCAACCATGTTTTGTTCCGCTATGAAGCATTCTAAGAACTGGTCAGGACAAGTCTCCTGGACATGAAACATAGACATTTTTATTTATTTATATGTTTGTGGCAGTAATTCTGGCATTGATTGGCCAGGATATATATTACTAGTTATCACTTACATCTTTCACTCTCTTCCCTTTTTTCTCTTACTGACTCCGTTGCATAAAAAGAAAATTAAGATAAATATTCCAATGGAAAAGGAAAAGACAATGCCAAGAATCTATCAACGTTTATAATATTTTCAAAAAATGCGCAAATAACACGGGAAACAGTGTTTGCGATGACAACCTGATAGTATGAGGTGAAAACTTACCCTAAACTTGTTGGAAAAGGTGGAGCCACGCATATCCCCGTCCAGAGTGATAACACGCTTGTTTAGTTTTCCAAGCTTTGATGAAGCACTGGCAAAGCCCACCCGGGGTGCTAGCTAGGAAATACAATCACATGCGGGACAAGCAATTAGGAAAATTAGACGCAAACATCTCCAAACCGTATTTTTCGTGCGGCATATACCGATCATGACCACCTCGACCAAAAATTCAAATTGAACTGAATATTGACCAAAACTCCATAACAATAGTGATTTCGTAATGACAAAAGATCATGTTGTCACCAAAATAAGCGCAGGGGATGCTAAAATGGAGAAAAACCTCCCTTTCCCTGATGCCCCCCCCCCTTCTGAATATTGGACACGAAAGGCATCAGCTTTTTAAACTTCCTTGACTTCAAAACATAGAGAAACTCCCCCATTTTTGTATTCATTGTTGGGGTAAAACTTTTCATTAAAATAAACCAGTGAACGTCTGCCTAAGTAAAATGTAAACAGAGAACTGCCTCGAAAATCTCAAGTACGTTTTTCTCATAAACAGTGGCAAAAGACATTCCTTCATACAACCCAAAAAAGAGTGGAAACGAGCGCAAAATGCCTCACCCTGTCTCCCTTCCTATAATTTGGCGGCTCTGGCAAGATTAGATCTTGGATATTGACAGGAGGAGCATCATCAATAGGCAGCCGTGGTTCAAGGTTTAAAGGCCCCTTCGATACCAACTGTTTCTCAATGGTGTCGATGACTAAATCTTTATCGCCAACTACTTTCCCGTGGAATTTTGCCTGGTCTTCAATGCCTGGTAATAATAAAAGTACAGCTTTCATGACGATAACATAGGAACTGATCCGAAATCATTTTAAGCTCTCTTGGAAAAGTACAAATACATACATATCAAAACATTTATCGTGGGCGAGTGATGGATGCCAAACAGGGGTTGGGGCAAAAGCCTGGCCTCGTTATTTTGAATTGCGAAGGTTTATAATTATTGAGGGCGTCCAGTAGGACGCTAAAAGACAAAATATGGGGAAATGGAAACGCTGTTTTTCCAAAACTGTACCATTTCTGTGAATATTAACGAACCTATTCAAGGTGAATCACAAACTGATCTTTTTACATTATTTATTTAGTAATATATATATATATATATATATAGAGAGAGAGAGAGAGAGAGAGAGAGAGAGAGAGAGATTGGGGCAATTAATGTGTCTGTGAAACAGGCCCCCATGGAAGTTCACTGCTGCTGTCTATACACGCCTACCAGGAAATCCTTTGCCTTTGAATGTCTTTGCAATGACGCAAGACGGTTTATCTTTTACTTGTTCCGCTGCAGCGAAAGCCTGAACCAATTCCTCCACACTGTGGCCGTCTACAACGTACGTGTTCCATCTGTAACGAGATTTATAAAACAAGTGGGTATATGGATACTTGCTATGAGATTGATGACTCATGTTCGTAACAAATTCAGGTAAAATTATTGTAACACCTTTCGTAAAGAAACGGGAATAGAATCAATAAATAAAACCATAATAAGAGGCAAAGCGTGCCAACATATTTTGGCTTAAATTTGTGTCATTAACAGAACTCGTGACATCCCATTAAGGGCGCAGACAATAGTAGTAGGATATAAGCCGAAGCGGGGTGCCAGACATGGGGTAGTGCCGGCATAGCAGCAAAAGATAAAAGGAGATGTCGATGGATGCTGACAAGCCTTTTGAGTCGACCATGGCTCGAAGAGGATAAGTAAGTAAGTATAAATCAAATTTTCTACCAAACGGCAGGAGGAACCAGGGTGCAAAGAGGGAAGTTGACCTTGCTACTTGTATCTGCGCCTTTTTCATGTTTTTCTTGTAAGATAGGTGAGGACTTCGACTACTAGAGAGTTTTGGCAAGGCCTTCCGTACGACGTATAACGTGCGACGTCATCACTTTGTGCGTAGATTTTCNTATGATATTCTTTTTACAGTACAGTAAAAAAATTGCCACAAATTTTGCGTGCCGTAGCAACAATCGCATAGTGTTTGGTCAGATCTCCAAAGTGATAGTTCAGCCACTGACTTTTCAATTATTCCAATTTTATTATTCTTACATACAATTAAACACGCCAATGCCCCTTCCCCTATACTGTTAGCACACGCTGCTGTCAAACATTTTGCTGTCCATGCTATACAGAGAAATCGAATATTCTTTCTCGGTAATATATACACACACTGAAAGACTGATTAATCCATAACTCACACGATGATCTACCCTGTAATCGAACGAATAGTTCCCATGGGGATAAGGGGAGTTTTAGAAAAAAACTGATATACCATAACAGTTAATTTATTTTTTGAAACACCATACCTTCTGGATAGTGATCCTCAACTGTCAAAACTCTGCCCCCAGTTGCCCTAGCGGAGGAGAGAATCGTCTCCCTGTCCAACGGTTTCACGGTGAAGGGGTCTATGACACGGATGTGTATTCCCTCAGTTTCCAAAATGGCAGCTGCCTGCAGTGCTGTATCCAGGGTAACGCCCGCTGCCACCACGGTGACTTGATCGTTGGGGTGCTGACGCACAACCTGACAGAAATGAAGAATAGCATTCTGTATACTGATCGATTAGAATTCAGGCCGTTGGAATCGCTTTTAAAAATCACTTCTTATTTTTCAACTGCATGCACACTTGGATGCTGGGTCCCAGTTGTGAATAACTTATACTGCTGGGGGATCCTAGATTTTGCTGGGGCGGACAGGCATATATATAACAATTTGTAACATGTATATATTATGTAGGTCACGGAGAAGGAAAATGTCCTCTTTCGCTCAGTATCGTTTTTCTTTTTTTTTTTTTTTGGTGGGGAGGGCAGTACCGCCGACGCTGAAAGAGGTGGCACTTTACCGCCATTGAAACAGTTCTAACAAACGCGTAACCTATCAGCATCAGCCTTGAACAAACCTTCTTAAAGATAATAAGCAGGACATATTAAAAAACAAACGCCATATACAAAAATTATAGCATGTGTAGTCACAAAACATAATAGATAAGTTTATATCGGTAGCCTTTACACGATTACATGGGTCACGTCTTTTGTCACTTCTTAATTCAGTGTAAATTTGACATGTCCAGTCATCCGATTTTGGTTTCAATTTGGCAATAAAATGAAAAAGGGCCTACACGTAGGTCTGCATTTAGAAAGTTATAGTGAACATCTTGCCATATTTATCAAGGCAGTTTTGCTTAAGCTATACAAATGGCATGGAACATAAATTGTTCGAATACCAATCAAAACCTTACCTTTGCCTCTCCTATATGAAATCTCTCCTCGTTGTCGTATATAACGCTGGTTTCTGATCGAGTGGACCGGATATACGCTATTCCTTTGGTGCATGCGGCGAGTTTCACGGCACCCTCCATGGAGACCGCGTCGCTCGGGTAGAACACTGTGCAATTGGGCACGGCACGAAACATCGCCATGTCCTCCATACCCATCTGAGACGGCCCGTCTGCACCTGCAATGTGCAAGGGCTGTAGATCTTTTTTTCCATGTGTTTAGCTCGCAGACAGATTAGTAGCCATGCATACATATAAAAAGAGAGACAGAAGGAAATTTTGAAAGGTATGCGAGCCCAATGGCATATGCTAACTCATTCAGAGCCTTCAAATGCTAATCGTGGATTTGGTTGGATTTGTTTACAGAGGGTGCTATTGCAACGATGTACGTAAAAGTTGCAATAATTATGCCAACGGCGTTTACTGCAAGCTACTGAGTGCAACGACAAGTGCTTCTCCTCAGATGACTAACGCCCACGTTCGACTTTGTCGCAATTCCCAAATTCATAGAAACTTAATGGATCTATAAAATGAAACATGTTTGCAATGCAAACGAAGGCAATTGCTTCTTTGTTAATAAATCCATCAAAAAACAAAGTGTAGCACTCTATATGACGCACGAAGGCACACAAGTATCATTCATATTTGTAGTGTCGACTTTATTCCCATAACAGACGTATTACAGAAGAAATCAAAATCAGAAGCAGCAGCTTTGTGTTGAAAAAAGAAAACACGTGTTTTGTTTCTCTACCTACCTACGGAAACTCCAGGATGAGACCCCAGAATATTGATATTGGTTTGTGAGATGGCCCCCATGCGAATCTGATCGTAAGCCCTAGTTAAGAAACTCCCGTATGTGCAGAGAAAGACCACTGTTCTGTCCCTGGTGGCGCACCCTATCGCCACGCCAACCATGTTTTGTTCCGCTATGAAGCATTCTAAGAACTGGTCAGGACAAGTCTCCTGGACATGAAACATAGATATTTTTATTTATTTATATGTTTGTGGCAGTAATTCTGGCATTGATTGGCCAGGATATATATTACTAGTTATCACTTACATCTTTCACTCTCTTCCCATTTTTTTATCTTACTGACTCCGTTGCATAAAAAAAATTAAGATAAGAAATATTCCAACGGAAAAGGAAAAGACAATGCCAAGAATCTATCAACGCTTGAAATATTTTTTAAAAATGCGCAAATAACACGGGAAACAGTGTTTGCGATGACAACCTGATAGTATGAGGTGAAAACTTACCCTAAACTTGTTGGAAAAGGTGGAGCCACGCATGTCCCCGTCCAGAGTGATAACGCGCTTGTTAAGTTTTCCAAGCTTTGATGAAGCGCTGGCAAAGCCCACCCGGGGTGCTAGCTAGAAAATACAATCACATGTGGAACAAGCAATTAGGAAAATTAGATGCAAACATCTCCAAACCGTATTCTTTGTGAGGCACATACCGATCAGGACCACCTCGACCAAAAATTCAAATTGAACTGAATATTGACCAAAACTCCATAACAATAGTGATTTCGTAATGACAAAAGATCATGTTGTCACCAAAATAAGCACAGGGGATGCTAAAATGGAGAAAAACATCCCTTTCCCTGATGCCCCCCCCCCTTCTGAATATTGGACACGAAAGGCANCCCCCCCCCCCCCCCCCCCCAATTCTGAATATTGGACACGAAAGGCATCAGCTTTTTAAACTTCCTTTGACTTCAAAAAATAGAGAAACTCACCCATTTTTGTATTCATTGTTGGGGTAAAACTTTTCATTAAAATAAACCAGTGAACGTCTGCCTAAGTAAAATGTAAACAAAGAACTGTCTCGAAAGTCTCAAGTACGTCTTTCTCATAAACAGTGGCAAAAGACATCCCTTCATACAACCCAAAAAAGAGTAGAAACGAGCGCAAAACGCCTCACCCTGTCTCCCTTCCTATAATTTGGCGGCTCTGGCAAGATTAGATCTTGGATATTGACAGGAGGAGCATCATCAATAGGCAGCCGTGGTTCAAGGTTTAAAGACCCCTTCGATACCAACTGTTTCTCAATGGAGTCGATGACTAAATCTTTATCGCCAACTACTTTCCCGTGGAACTTTGCCTGGTCTTCACTGCCTGGTAATTATATAAGTACAGCTTTCATGACGATAACATAGGGAACTGATCCGAAATTATTTTAAGCTCTCTTGGAAAAGTACATATACGTATCGAAACATTTATCGCGGGCGAGTGATGGATGCCAAACAGGGGTTGGGCCAAAAGCCTGGCCTCGTTATTTTGAATTGCGAAGGTTTATAATCATTGAGAGCGTCCAGTAGGACGCTAAAAGACAAAATATGGGGAAATGGAAACGCTGTTTTTCCAAAACTGTACCATTTCTGTGAATATTAACGAACCTATTCAAGGTGAATCACAAACTGATCTTTTTACATTATTTATTTAGTAATATATATATATATATATAGAGAGAGAGAGAGAGAGAAAGAGAGAGAGAGAGATTGGGGCAATTAATGTTTCTGTGAAACAGGCCCCCATGGAAGATCACTGCTGCTATCTATACACGCCTACCAGGAAATCCTTTGCCTTTGAATGTCTTTGCAATGACGCAAGACGGTTTATCTTTTACTTGTTCCGCTGCAGCGAAAGCCTGAACCAATTCCTCCACACTGTGGCCGTCTACAACGTACGTGTTCCATCTGTAACGAGATTTATAAAACAAGTGGGCTTATGGATACTTGCTATGAGATTGATGACTCATATTCGTAACAAATTCAGGTAAAATTATTGTAACACCTTTCGTAAAGAAACGGGAATAGAATCAATAAATAAAACCATAATAAGAGGCAAAGCGTGCCAACATATTTTGGCTTAAATCTGTGTCATTAACAGAACTCGTGACATCCCATTAAGGGCGCAGACAATAGTAGTAGGATATAAGCCGAAGCCGAGCGAAAAGAAATGGGGTGACAGGGTAATGCCGGCATAGCAGCAAAAGATAGAGGGAGATGTCGATGGATGCTGACAAGCCTTTTGAGTCGACCATGGCTCGAAGGATAAGCAAGTAAGTATAAATCAAATTTTCTACCAAACGGCAGGAGGAACCAGGGTGCAAAGAGGGAAGTCCACCTTGCTAGTTGTATCTCCCCCCTTTTCATGTTTTTTCTTGTAAGAGAGGTGAAGAGTTCGACTACTAGCTTACTTTATCCCACAGTGACAATGAATTATTGACAATCAAATGTTTTCACTGTTTTTAACTTCAAGTAAACCCGAAGTTCATCGAACGTACCCGAATGCCTCAACTCTTATCCTATAAGCATCCAAGTCGTGCTCCAGCGCCGTTAAGTCACTCTGCCCAAAACGGTTTACGTCAAATATGGCGACCAGGTTGTCTAGTTTGTAGAAGCTGGCGAAGGCCATGGCCTCCCATATAGAACCCTCTGCACTTTCGCCGTCGCCAACAACGCAGAACACACGATAACTGTAGAATAAAACACATAACTGTAAGTACGCATAAACTGCTGGGCGAAAAGTTCTTTATTCAAAGTTGAAGAGTCCTCTGATTTTATCTCATGAATCAGAGTAAAATCTACCGGTAGAAATTATATAAGAGATATCTTCCAAAGAGAGACAGCACTAGAATTTTCATGGTGACGGATTTTACATCGTACGTGTTTATAAGACCCTACCCCCATCCCTATCCCCATGGGGGGAGGGCCCCCATCAATCGGACCGTCTAGCTAATTACTAATTAACGTTACAAGAGCGGCCAAATACCTTTAAACATTCAAACCCTGGTCGTTTTACATAATAGCTGAAAACAATTATGATAGTTCTAAAATCTCTTTAAAAATTCCTCGTAATAAAAGTGATTATGATTATTTATTATACGTACCTTGCCCTGTCAAAGTATTTACCGGTATACGCCATGCCGGCGGCACAGCTCAGTCCCTGGCCTAGTGAGCCCGTCGCAACGTCAATAAACTCGAGTCTCTAGAAATGTAAATAAGGCCATCAGAGAAATGTTCTCTCTCAGAGTATTAAAAAAATCAAGCTCAAAACACATCTATAAAGATCACCTAAAACTTGGTACTAAATGTGATTTTATACTTGGTATAAAATGGCATTTGAATGTAGTTTTAGTTGATCTTTATAAATGCATTTTAACTTGATTTATTCCTATAACGAAAACAACACGGTTATTAATATTAATTGCACTTCGTGAAAAAATCTTCATTGACATCATATTTCATTAGAAGATTTCTAGATAAACCAGCCAATATTCAAAGAAAGTACCAGACAATCAAACAAATATAAAAAGAATGCGTACCGGGGTTGGGTGTCCTTCCAAATCGCTGTCCACCTTTCTCAGATTAAGTAGGTCTTCAACGGGAAATAAGCCAGCCTCGGCCCACGCCGCGTACAGTGCAGGAGCAGCATGACCCTAAACAACATACATATACCAGAGTATAAGACTGGGTTCCCATACTTAGATCGATCCATCTGGATCGACCTAACTCCCTGGGGTTCACGCTAAATTGCTATCAGCTCAAGAGGTTTAAATGTCTGTCACGCCTACCGAATCAGCTAGGGTGTAAAGATAATTACCTCCTAACAGTTTTACTAAGCGTGACAGACATTTAAGCCGGTTACGTTGATAGCAATTTAGTGAGACTCCCCAGTGAGAAAGATCGATCCAAATGTCTGTGGAAATGGTCCCTTAGTACAACTGTAGCAGCTCTGAGCTGTATTCTGTATGATTCAGTTACACAAAAGAACAAAGCACATCCTACCCTGATTTCAGCTAAAGTCGATGTTAAAAACAACAAAACACATTCCACACACAGTGTGGAATTTTCGGCTCTATCTGATTATTATTTTTTCTCTTTTTTCCTTTTATCGCCCTCTGAGACTTCTTCCAACATTCTTTATTGCACTTATGACATTTAAAGAAAATTAAAAATGTTAAAAGACAGCTGCAGCCCCCCTCCCCACCAAAAATGTTTGAAAAAGAAACCTGGGGAGTTAACTATTGTTAGCCTTTTCCTTGTCCACACACTAAAGTTTCTTACTTGGTTTATCGTCTTAGTGAGTCCCAGTACTACAGGCAGAACAGGTAACTTATCAGCATGTGTATTGTAGGCTGTCAACAGCAACGTCCCCCTCTCCCAACCACTTTTCTCAGCCAAGGACACTGATTTACCCTCTACCAGGGCCACAGATTGATTTTTTCACTAGATAATCACAAATATGTGCTTGGCTAATTCATGGCACCTCGCGCTGTAAATGGCATGAGTTAGTAAGGCCTACAATACAAGCAAGTAAATTACTTGTGTCACCCTCTGTACCCTTTTCACGTATATCCTCTACCAGGGCCACAAATTGATTTTTCACTTGATATTCACAATTGTGTCATGGATTTGCCAGAGACAAATCTGTGAATACCTAGTTAAAAGCTCTCTGTGGCCCTGGTAGAGGGTAGCACTGTATTAACATTTCTATTCGTTACCCTTACCTTTGAGAGGACAAATCTGTCACTGTTTGGGTCACGAGGCTTCTGGACCCTGTATCTCATCGTATGGAAGAACAACACTGACGTTATTTCAGCAATTGATGCACACGATGTCGGGTGACTGAAAAAAATTCAATAGTCGTCTTGTGTTAACAAAACAACGTCAGTTACCTAATACATTTTTCTTTGTCAAATTTTCAACTGACTTTGCCACTCCTCTTAGACTGGGTTCCCATACTTAGATCGATCCATCTGGATCGACCTAATTCCATGGGGGTTCACGCTTAGTTGCTATCAGCTCAAGAGGCTTAAATGTCTGTCACGCCTACCGAATCAGCTAGGGTTAAAGATAATTACCCCCTAACAGTTTTACTAGGCGTGTCAGACGTTTAAGCCGGTTAGTTTGATAGCAATTCAGTGAGACTCGATCTCCCCAGGGAGATAGATCGATCCAAATATCTTTGGGAATGGTCCCTTAAGTTCAGACTCGCATCCACTTTTACAATATTTCAAGCAAATTTTAGGAATCTTTGAAAATGAATGTTATTTTAATCTCCTGATGGTCTCCCGGTCTCTACATGCTCCGTCCCTGCAGGGGGCTAGCAATTAAACCTTAGAGCCGAAGTTTTTATCCGTTTAATGGCGCGTGTGGAGACGGTAAGACCATCAGGGGATTAAATGGGTTGCTTTTTATGTCGAGTCGGCCATATTTTGTCCACGGATCAGCAAGTCCGCAGCTCATCTGTTCTCAATGCGCTCTAACACTGACCCTCAGACCTCAGTTTAAATATATTCAAAGACCTCTCAAAGGAAACTGGTCTAGTAACATGTAAATGTACCGCTCGATGTATAAGGAAACTATTGTGGCAAAGTGGGCATGAATTTTGGTATTGGGATTGAGACCAGTTTCACACTATATCTTCCGTTGAACATTTTCTTTGCACGTTCAACTTAACCGAATATAGCTACCGTCTTTCTTCATGCGAGGAAGATAGTGTGCCCACGTACACGGAAGAAGGTTCCATTTTCAGTATAATTTTCATATTACTTACATATTACTAAGAATTGATTCGGCTGCAGTTCATTTATCCGTTTCTCATTACAACCATAGAGTAAATGTGTAGGTAGATGCCAGATGTAATCATAAGATTGATCCAAGTAATTTCTGATGTTGAAAACGCACGATAGAAATACAATCAACTTCCAAGGGGTGCAGAGTCATAAAGGCTGTATTCCCAGAGCTTTTAGATCGATCTATCCCCGCGGGGAGTCTCACTAGATTACTGTCAGATAATCCGGCTTAAATGTCCATCCCGCCTACTTCAAGCTGTAAGGGGGTAATTAACTTTTGTGTCCGCTCGGCTGACAGCTATTTAGCGTGAACCCCCAGGGAGTTAGGTCGATCTAAAGTAGATCGATCTAATCTCTGGAAATGGGGTCAAAGAGGGAGACGGAGTGATTGTTTGTTACTACTCCCCTTACCAACCTTGCAATTATCAAATAATATCATAACGGTAATTGTCGCAAAGGTAGCTCTGTTTGGCAGGCTTGAACTATTGCTTACATCCCGTGCAAGTTTGGTTAAAAATCCTGTTGTCTGTTTGTCTTTTAAAAGATTTAATTAATACATTGTTTCTAAGTCTGGTTTTGATGGCCTTATAAAAGAGATATATATGTGTATTTGCGTATATATATTCTGTTAATCCATAAGCCGCCTCACATAGGTGAATTATTCATGTATATTGCGGTTAACTCTATGAGGCAGTCTTGTCATCTTTGATGGTTGTAGCGAAATTAAGAAATAAACTTATATAACTCGACTTGCTGTTTTTTGAGTGATATGGTTTTGGATTAAATAAATGAATAAACTTCAGTTTTATCTTGGTAATTTTACAAAAGGGTAGGCCTACAACTGCTGAAATATTTCCAGATTTAAAAACAAGCGTTATGCCATACTGCAAAATTGGTTTGAGAAGTATTACAGAAGCATTTTTTTTTTTAATATACCTCAAATCTGCCATGCTGGGAGTATAACGATGTATTCAATTTGCTTCCTGTGTACTTCGAATTCCCTGCAGTACAGAATTAGCAAATACTACTCAATCTCTGCTTCAAAAAAGTAGATTTGTAAGCTCTTTAGCAAAATTAAAACGCGCGTCAATCGTGGTGAAGTTCTACTTCATTATTACTGTTGTCTGTACAATCTGATGTATTTTTAATAGAAAATACTGCGGTAACGCTACTTCTTCGTTCGTACTGTATTTTTTGTCAAACCTCTTTTGATCCTTCAGTTATTTAATAATAAAACACCAAAACCACAAATAAATAAGTCACGAAACGAATGCTTCATACCAGTAGATATATACTACTTACGTCCTTGATTTCTCATATTGATGAAACAAAAGAAACATGGGCACAGCAATTACCATTACCCTCTTATGCCAGATCATAAGCTCTAAGGAAGACTTGTTTCGTGATCTTATCATGACTCACGTTAACCAGCTTATTCCACTTTCCTGTAAGGTGCAACCATCTTTTATACTTTGTAACCATAAAGCCTGTATCTTTTTTCATAGTAAAGTACCCCAAAGAATTCTCTAGCAGCTCTATATCGGATTTTAAATTATTGCTTGTTATATCATTACATTTCTATACACCTGCATACTGTGGCAGGAAGAAGACACACGTGTCAAAAGGCTTGGTGCAATTGTTTGGCGTATGTGGATTACAAATATATCCTTGGTTTTTATATTTTTGCGCTTACAGAACCTCATTTGCCTACCAGCAGCATGTTACATGACGCCCATATTTGCAACAATTTTAAACAAAGCTCATTCACAAGAAACAAAGAGCATGGAAGCATTATACTAGTATGCACTCCGTGAAGTAGGCCTACAAGGATAATACAAGTTATACACGCATATATATAGAAAAGCAACAACGAAAAAAAAAAAAAGAAATTTTATAAAGTGTCCCTGAAAAAGTTAAGCCATGATATTCATAAGACTTTTCATAAACAAGTACCGACCCATTGCAATTAAACTGAAAATTACTCCTTTTCACACGTGGCTTTTTGAAATGCTCAATTTTGGTTTTTTATTTGGTTTACAAACAAACTCCATTTATAAGACCACTTCAACAGCTGAGCAAGCACAGCTTGTAAATTTTCCTCGGTAGAAGCTATTAAAACTACATCATCTGCACATAGTAATGTATCTAACAAAATACTCCAACTCTAAAACCTTTCGAGAGGCACATTATCTACTGCGCTATATATCTATCGTTGATATATATAGGGCAAATAGGGTTGTGATCGGCTGTAACTTTGTAGAACACGATATCTATTCGTATTTGTGTACGTCGTTAACGTCTCTAGCAGTAATGTGCAGACAAACGTTGCTGTATGTTCGCATGCCCGGAGGGAGATAAAATGTTTTGAACATCAAAAACAATATACCATACACTTCTTGTATCTTCATTTTAATGCGCTGGAAACAGTTTATTCGCTTGATGGAGTATTCTCAAATGTTAAATGTATATGACAGCAGTGCCTCTCTTTTACAGCTTATGATATCACTTTTGTAATTTTTTTAATTTTTTTTCTTTATAATGTATGTTTTGTATTTGTAGGTTTAGCAAAGCGCTAATACTCATTCACTTTCCTTTGCACCTATGCAGTTTTGTTTTCATAATTGGTGCTGTTATGTAATGCATTGTATCACTTAACTGTTTAATCATTAAAAATTGAAGGAAATGACACTGATTATGGCAAAACTGATCAATCATTAAAAAATGAAGGAAATGACACTGCTAATTGCAACATTTTATGACAAATTATATTAATAATTTATATGTTCACACTTGTTTGCATTAGAGAAAGATATTGTTTCCTGATTTTTAAAATATATAGGCCTAGTTACACATTTTTTCTTTGCGACCCCCTTTTCTAAACGGGTTGTGATTTTAACCACTTTTTGGTAAATTAAACACGATTTTAAATCTGCCAAGCCTTGTTTTTATTTGTCTTTTATAAAAAAACATAAAAATAAAGCACAAGTAGGTTTCACGGTAAAAAGGTCCACTTTTTTCGGAAAAAGTAGGCCTACCCCCCTTTGAATTTGTTGGCTACGGGCCTGCCGATATACCTACCAATAGGCCTACTGTAAATGCTTGTTCTGTTGTGAAAAGGGCCCTTCAAAGAGAATAGACACGACCTGAACTATCCCGAGCTTTTCGACCGTCTCCGTTCTTGGCAATGGCGAATCATAAATTAGAAACTTTGTTCCTTTTTCTTTAACTGATTTTAAGAGACCCGTGCTCATTTTATATATCTATGTCAGACTAAGTGCAAAAAGCTTTCTTTTCAATTTTTATTTACACTTATACATTTTGTAGCAATTTAGGGGGGGAGAAAACACCAGGCTCGACCGGGATTCGAAACCGGGACTCTCGCAAACCGTGCGACTACTCTTAACACGAGGAAAAAAAACAAGCAGTCTTATTACTCTATGCCTTATACATTATAGAACAATTGTTCTCGTCTACCGTTTTATATTTGCGAAGCGAAGAGAAATCTCTTTGGTTTGTATTTCACCCTTTCATCAAAGTATATAAATTTCTCGCTAACTTGTGGTGTATCTCTGACCTCACCTGTAAGGGACAATATAACTTACCCCGAGCCGGCAGCGCTGGTTGCACGAACGCTGTGAAGTCGAATCCGGTTGGCCATGTCTCGGAGCGCTTGGAAATCCGCGTGTCCCATGTCGTTGTTTTCCCGTACGTTAGTCATGCTCTTGCAGTTTGTCAGTTTGAACAAAATTCACCCGGTGATGTGTAGAGCTCGCCTTTCAGGGTAACTCACCTAAATGAAAGATGAACACATACGGGTTACAAGGGCTTGCCAAGATGAAATACGCTTTACGCATCTATGCAGCAAAATGACAAAAAAACATTACGGTTTGCTTATTTCCGTTTAAATTCGGCCGTGTATGAGAGCAGACAACAAGATATGCAGTTCACAGCGTAAGGAACGACCACATTTTCTATTAATATTTTCATCATTTGAATTTTCAGCCAGGATTTACATTGGCAGATATATGAGGGTCTTCCTTCAGGGACATTTTAAGTTATTAGTGGTCGACATTGGATACATTCAATTACTACAGGTAGGCATTACTACGCCCATTTGTTAGTGTTCCGATGTCATAGTTTATGCCTGAATACAATGAAAAATATGCCAAAGCTCCAAAACGAGAACCAATGTATCTTTATGAAATGTCAGGAAGACGTGGCACCTACCCATTCAATCTTGTTTATACAGATGGCTCCTTTTGTCCCGATTAGATGGAACGTAAAACTTTTCGGCAACGACTGTCGTATAAGCCCTACTGCAACGTCGAGCTACCCTGCATGTGAACGATTATTGCACGAATCGAAGATAAACAAGACCGTCTAAACTGCGCACGTGCAACGCATCGTTGGAGCACTGCTCAACAATCTGAGGATGGTAAGATTGGACAAACGCCATGTTTTCAGCTGCAGTCATAAATAATAAATAAATAAATAAATAAATAAATAAATAAATAAATAAAAATAAATAAATAAATAAAAAGAAAAGTTAAAAGCACGGTATTTAAAAGCAGCCAAAATGAAACGTCCAACATTCCTCCATTTTGATTTAAAAATTAGAATATAAGTTAGATAGCATATAAGAACATTAAAAAAATATAAATAATATTGATATAAAGATCAAACCTATAAAATAAAGAAATGTAAAAAAAAGGAAATTAAAATAAAAAAGCAAAGAGAAAGTTTTAAGTCTAGAAAACTTGTGAAAATGAATTTTGAAATAAAATTACTTAAACAGAAGGCACACTCTAATATGTGTATAAATTATGCATAGCCCCTGTGTATCATTTCTATTAGGTAAATAAGAAACGGTTAATTAATTATCCATTGTCAAGAGGTAGACAACACTATAACTATTAATATAGAACCTATAATCTGCAAATTTTAAGTTGTAGGCCTACAAGCCTACATTTAAATTATAATATAACATACTAGGCCTTCTGCAGTATATATATATTCTTTTTTTAATAAAGTTTTGTTTAAATCAATAAGTTTATACTTTTAGTCATCTCAGTAGAATGAGAATTATATAAACCTAGCGAAAGGTCCCAGGTCGAGACCGCAACGTGGGTCAGCTGCTAATGTAAATTCTAATATACATTATTCTCATATTGTTAACTGCCTCACCTTATTTTACCAAATAAATATTACATGTTATGAAAAGCATAAGAGCATTATGTTATGGAATGACTTTCTTGCAGTGCAACGTGCATTACATCAGTGTTAAAAGAATATCGGCGCTCAGTCATAATAATAACAAACACGATGTTGAAGCAATAAAAAAAACATATATTTCCCGTATTGTATAAGTTATTATATTGTATAAGTTCATGTTTAACGTGTCACGACCAGAAATTGTCGGCAATCTCTGTCTAGCAACACTCTGCTACTGATCCATTGTGAACTGCTCATATAGCCTACTCTAACTCCACAAGATCATAAAAACCCAAAAGGCTAACTCTGTCTCTGAAAACCCTTTCCCATATTTTGCTCGAGATCGTTGAAAACCCAGATAATATCTCTGTGCACCGGGGTACAAGTGACAGCCTAGACGTTTTAGAAATAAGTCTACGATCCATAGCCGCTATCTACTTGGGAGGCGTAGACCTACTTAAACGTATACAGTAGACTCAATAAGACAAAAGCAGGTATTCCTTACTGCTAGGCCAAGTGACCCATAGTTTTTTCATCCTTTTAGTACACCAAGTAAAACACACATGCAATGCACAGTACTTCGCTTTTTGACAATTTTATGCCCAAAAACAAGTAAAAAAAATTTAATAGATGATAACCCCCCCCCCCCAAAAAAAAAAAAAAATATATATATATATATATATATATATATATATATATATATATATATATATATATATATATATATATCGATCACACACATTTTGTTAACCTGATGTATTTTAATACAAACCTATACCCTGACTAGCCGCGGATAATTTTCACCCTGGCTAACCCTGTAACTAAGACGCCATTACTACGTTACCATGTCTATTTATTGACTGTATTTTTTTTCTTTTTAAGGGATCTGTTCAGATTTCACGCATGAGTAGTTTTTATGACAGCAGCTAATGACAAATGAAATGAAATACAATAAAATATATAATATCATCCTCTTATGAAAGCTCCTTTGTTACTTTGATCGAAGCATGGATGAATTATATAATATATGCCAACCCAAAACGTTTTGCGAAGAACACTTCGACTTTTGCGACTAAGGGTACCCACTTGCGACTTGTCTAACACACGATGTGATGCTGAAAAGGTAGTTCAGCACTCGAAACGCAACAATGAATACCCATTTCTTTTTAGTGGGGTCTGCTAACTATGTTAATTCACTAAGAAAATGCTAAATTGTCGACTTTAACTGGTAGCGATGACTACCAGTTTTCTTTGATAATGACGTATGGTGGCTATTACAGCTTACCTGCACATGACATTCTACTTTAAATAGATTGCGGCCTTACATGCTTAGCAGCTAACGATACCCGTAACTAACCTGTGGTAAACGTACCGTAAATATGTAACGCCGAAAACTGAGGCAACCTATATATAAGCGCTGAATAAGTTGGTTACAGTTTTACCTTTATAATAATAATAATAATAATAATATATTTATTTTGAGTCTAAACTCCATATAAATATGTTCATTAGACTTTACAAATATGTACATACAAATAACAGATAGACAACTGGTCATAACACACTGTGTACACGATCTCGCCTCCCTGGGGAGGATACAGCCCCGCTGCCGTATGAGGCGCTGAGTGCTATCAAACTGACAATATCGTTCTCTGCCTGACCAGGACCCTGCTTCAACCCCAAAGTGCTGAGTGCCAAGCGGGGAGACAGCAGGTACCGTTTATAAAGGACTGGTATGTCCCCGGACGGGGTTTGAACCCACGTCCTCCCGCTCCGGAGGCGGACACTCTAACCACAAGGCCATCCGGTCGGTACCTTTACAGTAAACCATTGAGCCTAATTACTTTAAAATGGGCTGTGTTATCAATGCATTCTTCCCTAGCTGGTGCTGAGTTAAAGCGGATATTTATAATAATAATAATATTTGTCCGAATTCGGGGCACATAAACAATATTTGTCGTTTGTGAACTCAAGTTGCCGGTTTGTCATTGCAAAAACCGGATTATTGACTTAAATCACACTTGAAAATACTTGTGAACATTTTATTTTTTGGAATGAAAATTAACGTGCAACCCAATCAGTTAAAATGAAACACCGTTTCTATGTACGCAAACAAGGCCACTGGACTAAATAATCTGGCCAATGCAGGATGGCTGCGTGAATAGGTAAATCTGCTAAAATTAATGTGGTTGGTAGAATTTCTTGGTTTTTGTTTTTTTAACATACAAAATTGTTTAATTGGCATATCATGTAAATTTTATGGTTCGTTGGTCAGTCAGTGAAGGGAGTGTGAAAATTTAGTGTTAGCAATTTTTAAAGAATAAACATATTATCTTTTACTAAAGATCCATGCACTAGTATAAGGAAATATGTCAGGCTGTACCCAGCAATTTAAAAGGGGGAGGTGGGTGGACATTTTACCATGAAACCCCCGGTAAAATTTGTCACATTTAACGCTCACTTATGGTTCTTAATCTGTCCTAGACCATAAGATGTTTTAAATCTGTTCTAGGACATTCAGAAGGGCTTCCCAAAAACAGTTCTTGAATTTTTACATTCATTACAGAACAACATTAAAACTGTATAAACTGTATAAAGTACCAAATGTTCCAGAATAGATTGAGAACCGTAAGTGAACGTTAAATGAGACAAATTTTCACAGGGGAACTCTCTTGCACATAGCGCAAATTTTACCAAGATTGGACTTTTTCCTGGCAAAAAGGGCAATTCGTTCAAAACACTTCCCTCCACCCCAACTAGAGGCCAGCATGTATAGTTATCTGAAGTCCTAGAACTGGACTTGTGCATCGATTTACACTTCATTTTATATATTGGTGCAGTTTTGAGAGTGAACTTTTAGTCCAATTATAAACCTCATTTATGCCTTCCTGGAGTTGTACGCAATCATCATAGTTATATATGTGGATCTAAAGATTTAAGTGTCATCATATAAGGGGCTAAAGATTTTAATGTGTCATCTGCAAATAGGTACGCTTTAGATGCATTATAATGGACTCTGGCCAATGAATAATGTGCATGACAAAAGGGAGCATTCCCAAGACAGAACTGTGTGGAATTCCACCAGTTAGATATATTTATCCAGTCTGAAAAAAAGTTCCCTGAGCCATGTCATGAGAAAATCGGGTATTTGATAATGCCCTAGCTCATTAAGCATAGTCCAAGGTGAAGGACGTCACGAAATGCTTAGAAAAAGAAAAAAAAGTTTATAACATTAATCTAGCCTTCATTGCTCAATACTCCTGACTATTCCTCCATCACTTTAATCATTTATAAGCCTGTTAACCTTTGGGGGATGAATTCATACTGTGTGTCAGAAAGCAGCTTGTTAGTTAATTAATATTTCATGACCAAGTCACACAGGTATTGATTCTAGTAGCTTGCAGCAGGTAAATGTGAGATGAACAGGTAATTTCCGGTCAACTTGTCACATTTTTTATATATGTAGTCTATAGAAACTGTTTCATGTCTTGATCATATAAACAGGAACACAAAGACAATTATTTTTATCAAATCTTCTTTTTATTATTAAACCTGATGCATGATGCTTTGAAACACATTTTAAATGAGTCTGGAGATTTTTCAACTACCATCCTAGGATTTTATATAATATCTTAATATCCCAAATACTTTTCAGTCATTTTGGAAAATATTTCAGTTGTTTCTGTGTTTGGTTTTCTTGTTAACACTCCTCATTTGTCTATAAATAAATTGCAGTTGGTATAGTGACTTAAGCTGCAGATAAACATATCAAATCAGCAACATTTACCTTAAGATATTGTTATCAACTGATAGGATTAGATTACTTTCACCATTATAATGAAATTCAAACTGCAATACATACACTGTCACATGAATGGAAAATATATGCCTTTCACTTTCAGTTCTATCAAGACCACAAGCAAGCAATTAGAAAAAACTGCCATGAATTCTCTAATCTGTTTTAGAGGCCTTTTCACAATGACTACGAGTATTAAATCTATATTCTGAGAGACTTGTAACTTTTTCCAAATGTGTGCTGCTTCTATTCCTCTTCAAGATGGCAGAAAATATTTCAAGACAGGTCATAAAAACTTCTCAAGTTTTACCATGCAAGCACTCCTTTTCCTGCCAAAGTATCCTGTCATTTTCATTTCTGCACAACATATTAACTGTATTCATTATAGCATTTATGTTTTTCAAAATAAAAACATCAATTTGAAG